ACACCTCAAGCCGCCTGGAGGGAAACAACCTATCTGATTCAGAGGGCCACCGGCTAGGGCCAGTGGAGGTCAGGAGAGAGGGCACTGAGAGGGGAGGGGGAGCAGAGGGTGGGCTTGGAGATAGGAGAAAGTCCGAGATGAGTAAGAAGACCAGTTTGATTAGATGAAGGGTGTATGGAGGAAAGGGATGTACGTGCTAGAAGGAGAGAACTGGGGACCTGGTTTCAAATCCTGCCTCTCTTACTACCTGGGGATGCTTAAGCCAGTCCTTGAATCTCTCCTGGCCTCAGTCCCTTATCTGGACAGCCTCCAAGGTCCCTTCTAGTTCTGGGGGGGGAGAGGTAAATGAGTGGGAAGGGAAGAGGCTAGAGAGAGACATTGGGCAGGGCCAATCGCCAGAGGCCCAGAGACTGGTGGGGCAGACGGCAGAGTTGTCCCTGAACAGTCTCCCTAGTTCCTTGAGGACTAAGCCATCAGTATCTTGAGGGACCCAAGAATGTAGGCCTGGCAGGGTGTCTTGAATAGAATTCTGATTGTAGCAGGCCCCTCCTCCCTCAGGGGCCTAGGCCTCGGTATGGTCATCCTTCCTCTTCAGTGACTCAGGCAAACTGCTCCCCGAACCTCCTGCTTGGATCCCAGCACCCCAACTCCTCTCTATCCAATGGACTGCAAGGTTCAGGATCCCCAGTCCCTAGCCTGAAGACTCTCAGGGGTCTTGATCCTCCAGCCCCCAGTCCCAAGGCTCCCGGGAGTCCTGATCGTCCAGCCCCCAGCTCCCAGCCCCACAAGGACCCGGGGTCCTGATCTTCCAGCCCCCAGACCTAAAGTTCCCAAGGGTCCTGATCCTCCATCTCCCAATCCCACAGGGATCCAGGGGTCCTGATCCTCCAGGCCCCAGCCCCAAGGCTCCCGGGCGTCCTGATCCTCCAGACTCCAGCCCCACAGGGAGCCCTGCGTCCCCGCCTCGGACAGCTACAATAACCCCCATTCATTCCTCGCACAAAGCGGTCCATTGAGCCTGACCCCGAGGGGGAGGGGGAGCCGCCCCCGAGCACACCCATTGGCGGGCAGCGCTGCCCGTCCAAAGCCTAGCCCCGCCCCCACCCCCTCCACCCCGCCCCCCCGGCTTTCCCACGGCCCGAATCCTTCGAGAACTTCCCATTGGCCGCGGGCCGGCCCGACTCCCTCCTCCAACCTCTGATTGGTCAAGCCGCCGGGCCGGGGGACGCTGATTGGAGGAGACCTGCTCCCGGCGCCCCCGCCCCTCCCTGCGCCCAGGCCCGAGCCCGAGCCCGAGCCGGACAGGAGGGGACAGGAGGGGACAGGAGGGGACAGGAGGGGACAGGCGGGGACGGGCGGCCGAGGCAGGCCCCCGAGCCCGCAGCCGGCGCCCCGCGGCGGCGGCTGGCCCCTGGGACTTCAGCCCCGCCCCCGCACACCTGCCTCACCTGCCTCATCCCCTTATAAGGCCGCAAGCGCCCGGCCCCGCCCCTGGCAGGTGTGACCACGCCCTCCGTGACGTCACGTCTGCCTAGCCCGGCAGGAGGCCGCTGTCGCACCTGGGCGATCCCTCTGCTCCTCTCCTCCTGGGCTCCAGGTAACCCGCCCTCCCCTCCCCGCAGGTAAGGAAGCCCCCCAGCAGGGCAGTCCTGCCAGGTGCGCGCCAGGTGATGCCCTGCCTTCCCCCTCCCCGGGAGCCCCCCAGGTGATTCCCCCAGGTGCGCCAGGTAATCTGCGGCTCCCCCCTCCGAACCCCCTCAGCTATGCCAGGTTATCTCCTGGTTTCTCCCCCCCCCAGTCCCCACCTGCAGGTGCGTCAGGTGATCCACTCCCCTGGGAGCCCCCAGCTGCACTTCCCGTGCCCAGGTGATCCCCCAGGTGTGACCAGTGATTTCCCCCAGGTACATAAGTAATCTCCTGCTCCCCCTTCCGTAGCTCTCCCCAGGTAATATCCCCAGGTGTGCCCAGTGCTCTCCTGCTCCAGCTGGAAACCCCTCAGGTTATCTCCTGTCCCCCCTTCCAGTGATGCCTTGCTCCCTTGGGAGCCCCTATTCCCCTCTCCCACCCCCAGTGAATACCCCCTCCAGGTGATCCCCTACTCCCCCCAGCCCTCTTTGTAGGTGATTCACCTGTTCCCCAGGGACCTCCGTCCAGATAATCCACTGCTTCCTCCCAGGAAACCCCTCAGGTGTGTCAGGCAGCTCCCCCAGGTGAGGCAGTTTAGATGCTGTTCCCCAGGTAATCCGAAGTATGCCAGGTAGCCGACCCCTGCTCCAGATAATACTCTGCACACTCATGTAACCCCCAGGAACACCAAGTAATCTCTTGATACTGCAGGTAACCCCCTCATTGCTAGGCCATCCCCCAGGCATTCCAGGTAACCCCCTGTTCCCCCCCCCAGGTAACCTCTAGGTGTGCCAGGCAATCCCCTGATTACTTCAGGTAACCCTCCAGTGTGCCAGGCAATCTGTTCTCCCAGGCAACTGCCCCCCACAACTCCCCTCTCCAAGTAGGGGAGATTAACCCTGTGCACCAGGTAACACCCCCCCCCTTTTCAGGCAGTGTCCTCCTCTAGCCAGGCAACCTCTACAGTGATTCAGGTAGTTACCTGTTCCCCCAGGTAACCCCCCAGGGAAGCCTCTAGTGCCCTGACTAATCCCCTGCCCTTACTCATCCCCCTCACTAAGCCCACCTACCACAGGGCAGTAATCCCCCCAAGCCAGGATACAAACCCCTTCTCCCACACCTTTCCTCTCCAGATGATGCCCCTCCCAACACAAACACCCAGTAACTGTCCACAGTGCCAAGGACCCTCTCCCTTACCCCCTGGCATGTGCCAGGTAACTCCCCCTCCCCTCTCTCTTCTGCCAGTGACCCCTCCCTTCCTTCTGTACCAGGCGACTCCCTGTCCCCCCTCTTTTTGCCAGACCTCCAACCAGATACTCTTGGGCTAAGCACCCTATGACCCTCCCCCTACACACACACTCTGAGAGCAAGTAAGCTGGGGCCATAGGTTATTGAGCATCTGAGGGGCCTTGTGCCAAAGGGTTGAAGTGGCAGCAGTTTGTGGGGAGACTGGGGGCCTCGGGGCAAGGCTGGGGGCAAAGGCAGAGTCACCCAGTTAGTTCACTGAACGAAGTGGGAGCCAGACTCCAGGATGCCTGCCTCGTGGGAAGGACTGGGGGATGGGATGGTGGCAAGTTCTGACCTGGTCTACTAACAAGGGCCAGGGTATGACTTAGTCCATGCCATATTCCACCCCCCCAGTACCGACTCCTGGACCCTGCCCTTCTGGCCCAGGACCCCCAAGCTAAGACATTCAGCCTCCTTTCCTCCCTGTCTCCTTCATTCCCTTACAGTCTCCTTAAGGCTCAGGGGAGGGGAACAGAGGCAATAGTCAGCGGGACAACCTGGCTGTTTGGGACTTTGGAGCTGGGGAGATGGGTGCCAGCATCCCTAAGGGAGAGGGGCACGCCGAGCTGAGGGTGTGGGGTCCTGAGTGGAGTGGGACACTTGGCAGGGGCCTGGCAGAGGGCATATGCTAGGGTCTTCAAGGGACCTTGGGGCTGAGTGCCTAGCCCTCTGAGGGGTCTGGACCTTGGTCTGGGTGGGAGATGGCGAGGGGATGCAGGAGGGTAGTGGCTGCTGAGGGCCTGGACCCTCGCTTATCCCTAGCCCAGGATCCACATCTGTGCTTACCACACACAAGCTCTGTTGGGCCCAGGTCCCTTCTCGCTTGGGCAGGGGAGCCGGGGGGATCCTCCTTCCTTCCATTGGTATCTCCAGGTCAGCTCCTTTCTTGTCCCCGGTGGCGGGAGAGGGGGCCCCCTGAGCCCTTGAGAGAAGCCTGAGTGCCCAGGTTTTTGAGCAGTAGAGTGTGTGTGTGTGTGTGTGTGTGTGTGTGTGTGTGTGTGTGTGTGTGTGGCATGGGTGTGTATCTGTGTGTATCTGTGTGTGCTTTGAGGGGGGTGCTGGGGACAGGGAAGACTGGTGGCCTGGGTCCCTGAGGACCCCAGGGCTGCCGGGCTTAGTGGCTGAGACTGGGAGGCCAGGGGCCAGGATGCCAGTGGAGGCAGAAGGCGAGGGAGAGGAAGGCAAGATGCCAGAGTCTCTGAGCCTGGGCAGGGAGCCTGTCCCGAAGGGGACCGGGCTGCTGGCTGGAGGGGCCAGGGCTGGGCCCAGAGAAGGGCAGCAGCCATTGGCTGGACAGAGGCCGGAGTCTTCCCAGGCCTGACTCAGCCCCTGAGCTCTGGCAGGGGCGAGGCTCTGGCCAGACTGGCTCACGTCTGGACACCTGCTAATGTGGGCCGGGCTGGGAGCGCCAGGCAGGGCGGGGCTCCTGCACGCCCTCTGTAGCTTGAGTGTTTCCTGGGCCACCAGCCTTCCTCCCCTCCCCCTCCTCAGGCCAGCGAGGCAATGGGCTGATGGGCTGAGGGGAGGAGGGAGCACTAAAGGGAGACTTTAGGAAGCTCTCTTCCAGCTCAAAATCCCCTGATCTTAGGGCTCCCTGTTATGGGTCTAAGTTGGGGGAAGGGGCTGGATAACTGAGTGTTATCAGGTGGAGGCTCAGGATGCCAGGGTCCCTGAGGGAGGAAGGGGCCACAGTAAGGGGGAGGGGTCAGGAGGCTGAAGGGGGCCATGGTGAGGGCAAGGATGCCAGGTTCCCTGAGGGAGGAAGGGGGCTCAGGAACAAGGCTGAATGTATGAATTGGGGGTAGCTGAGTCCTGGGGACTGGTGGCTTATGGAGAAAGAGACTCTGATGCCTCTTGCCCTGAGTCAAAGTGTGCCCCCACCCTTTGCCCAGTGACCTGAGTAACAAGTAATAAGGCCTGACAGGGGCGAGGCCCAGGCCCTGGGCATCTGTGAAAGCAGGTGGGGCTGGGCAGGCGGTCCCGTGTCTCCTGAGCCAGAGGCACTAGTGAGGCGGGGGGCCAAGGGAGGAGGGCACATCCCAAGGAAAATCGAAAGTCTTCCTGGTCAAAGGCCCTGGGCCTTGAGGTGTGTCCTGCTTGCCAGGGGTGCCGGGGATTACAGTTTCCAGGATGGAGGCGAAGAGAAGCAGGCTGAGTGGGGCCCTGAGGGACGCTGAGGTGAGCCCTCAGAGGCCTGGGGTAGCAGGCAAGGAGCTGAGAACCCTGGGGAGACCCAGAACCCCGGCAGGAAGGCAGGGATGGGCACTCCATCAGTGACTGGGGAAGGACAGAAGATCTGGGGGCAGCTGGAAAGGGGGGGCCTGGAGGGAAAGAAAGAGCGGAGACCGACGTGGGCAGAGGGAGTAGAGGCTCGCCAGGGTCCTGGGCAGAGTTGGGGTGGGGCCCAGAGGTGAGAAGGGAGAGCCGGATTAATGATGATGATATAATTGGAATGATAATAGCTAACGACTTCAGCACTCAGAAGGATGTACCTCTGAGGGGAAGGACTTGCCAGTAGAATTATTCCCTTTTTACAGAGAAGGAAACTGAGGCCTGAGGGTGGGGCAGGGACTCCTGTGTGTGAGGGCCACAGGCTGGAGCTTTGGAGCATCCGAGTTAGGGGTGTGAGGTCCTAATGGGGGCTGAGACTGGAGGTAGCCCCCAAGCTTGGGGGGATAGAGGGCAGTGGTGAGGCTGGAGGGCAGCGGGAACAGGGGCATCCCGGTCACAGGAGGAGGATAGAGGGCAGCCGGCTGGGTGCTGAGGCTGGGAGAGTATCTGCCGGGAGGAGGGCGGCGGGGGCAGGGGTGGGCATGTGTGACATCAGGGGTCCATGAGCAGGTGCACAGAGATGGGGGAGGCCCCAAGGTTGGCATCACTGGTCTCAAGGGTGCATGGCTGGCTGGTGCTTCCCATGGGGCTGTCCGAGCTGTCTCTCTGGGCCTAGTCCCCTGTTGGGAAGGTGACAGAGGCCCCTTGGCAGCCTCATTCTGTCTCCGAGGGCCCTTTTGGCCTGGACGCCTGCTTTCTGACCCTGGTTGAGGCCCTGCCATTCTCTGGGCCTTGGTATCCCCTCCGTTGGGTGGGGGGGTTGGCCCAGCTTGGCTCCTCACGGCCTCCTCTTGCCCACAGGCCATGGCTGCGGCCAGCACGGTGCGGAAGGCAGCAGGCCCGGTGCCCGAGGCAGCCCAGCCTTTCCTGTTCACCCCACACTCGGGCCCTGGGCAGGTGAGCAGCACGGGCACCCCCCAGGTGGAGTGGGCCGCCCGGCGCCTGGTATGGGTGCCATCCGAGCTGCACGGCTTTGAGGCAGCCGCCCTGCAGGATGAGGGCCCCGAGGAGGTGGAGGTGGAGTTGGCAGAGAGCGGGCGCCGGCTGCGGCTGCCGAGGGACCAGGTCCAGCGCATGAACCCTCCCAAGTTCAGCAAGGCTGAAGACATGGCAGACCTCACGTGCCTCAATGAAGCCTCCGTTCTGCACAACCTACGGGAGAGATACTACTCTGGCCTCATCTATGTGAGTGTGCCCCCAGATGTCCGCCTTCTCCCCCCTCCCAGGAGCTCCCCATGCTCCAGCTGTGTGTCCAGCCTCTAAAGCTTGTCCCCAGGGCCCAAGCCCAAATTGGATTGATTGATCAGGACCCCAGGTGTCAGACCTCTGGGCCTCCCTCTATCCTCTCCCCATCCCTCTCACTGGGAGCTCTGGATTCAAAACCTGGCTTGGTTCTGCCCTTTGTGAGCTTGGCCAACTCCCAGAATTCCCTGCTCTGGGCCTCAGTTTTTCTGCCCGTCAAAAGAGGGGGGTTGAGCAGAGCTACCTCTGCAGGAAGTGGGGATCCCGTCTGGCCAGGAGCTGAGCTTGTGGGGTGAGGCTCAGCCCGCTCCCGTCCATACCTCTGCCAGAACCCAGCGCTGGTCCGACTCTGCCTCTGGCTTTCTGCAGGCCCAGGCCAAGAATCTGTCCCTCTCTGATCCTTAGCTGTAAAGTGGCTCCCTCTCATGCCTCTGGGCCATCCCTTGCTGGCCTCAGTCTCCCCCAGGAGCGGTGTGGAGGCCCCTCTGTGCTCCGAGGGCAGATGCCTGAGCCCTGCCTCTGTCCAGGACACCTCTGACCTCTTAGGGCCTCAGTCTGTGCCTGCAGAAAGGGGGAATGACATCCTCCCAGCTTCCGCCTCGGTGGACTGCTTTGGAGGTCTCAGGGCATTGGCCCAGCCCCCACCTGCCCTGACCTGAGGAAGAGGAGATACAGATGTGCCTGTGGTTCATCCAGGGCTGGCTGCCCCTGCCAGCCACTTTAATGCTCATGGACGAGACCACCCTATCCAAACCCTTCACTTTGGAGATGGGGAAACTGAGGCCAGGGAGAGGTGGCCCAGATGACGCCTTGAGTGACCAGAGGAGGGGGGTTGAGGTTTGGGGCCCCCAGGAGGCCGGGGCTGACCTGGGCAGGTCACCTGGAGCTCTGGGCCTCAGCTGCCCATCTATGAAACCAAGAAGGCTGAAGGGCCCCCGCCTCTCCCCTCCCCCTCCACCCTGGGGACTCAGGCTTCCCTTGATGCTGGGTGTGGCCATCCCAGCCTGCCCTTTGGTCCCCGCCAGGCTCAGATTCTGGATGCTTCCTTGGGTGTTGCCCTGGGAGCAGGTGAGGCCGGGAAGGAGGAAGCTCCCCCTCTCTCATTGAGAGAGCATGGGCCTCAGTTTCTTGATCTGTTAAGTGTGTGTGTGGGGGGGATATTGTGTAGTAGGCAAGAGACAGGCTGAGAAGGCGGCTCTGTCTCTTCATCCTTGGGCCCATCTGGCCATGACTTTGCAGGGAGACAGGCCGGCTCCAGGCCTCCTGAACCCCCAGGCCCAGGCTAACGCGTCCCGGCACTTGGGGGGGCACCCCTCATGGAGGCGCCACCAAGCATGAGCTACCTGGCCTGGGAATGTGGGTGGGCGGGCCCGCCCTCCACAGGCGTTGAGAGGTGGGGGGGGTTGCAAGAAGAGAGGATGGTGAGATCTGTCTGGGTGCCAGGCCCAGGGTGGGGCCCCTCACCCACCCGACCGGTTGCTCTGGCTCTGCCAGGAGCGGCCTCCCTCCAGCTCTCCTCCCTCCCCACCTTGGCCGCTGCCCCCTCCGCACCCCTCCCCCTTTCCCTCTCCCTTTCCCTCCCTCACCATCCCTTCCTCCTCCTCTCCCTCCCCCCTTCCCACTCCCCCCTTCCCACTCCCCCCTTCTCTCTCCTCCTCCCCCTCTCCTTTCCTCTTCCCCCCCTCCTCCCCCTCTCCTTCCCCCTCCCTCTCCCCCTTTCCTCCTCTCCATCCCCCCTCCTCTCCTCTCCCTCCCCTCTCCTTTTCTCTCCCTTTCCCTTCCCTTCCCCCCAGGGGTCCCCAAGGTCTAGGAGGGGCATGGTCAGGGTCACTCTGGTCTCAGGGCCTGCTGAACACCGTGTTGACATGGTGCCTGTGGGTTGGCCAAACACTTTGCATGTGCTGTCATTAATCAACACCAGCCAAATTCCAGGCTCAGATCTGTACTCATTCATACATTCGACAAGCATTTATTAAGCACCTGCTGTGTGCTCCCCCCCTTTCCTCTCAGTCACCTGGGAGGGGTCACAGAACACGGCTGAATCACCTCCGTTTTATCGATGAGCCAGACCCACACGGCCAAGTCCAGGCCTCAGGCTGGAGCCTGGGGAGCAGGACCCTCTCTGACTCTCTTCCCTCCCCGCAGACCTACTCGGGCCTCTTCTGTGTGGTCATCAATCCTTATAAGCAGTTGCCCATCTATACGGAAGCCATCGTGGAGATGTACCGCGGCAAGAAGCGCCACGAGGTTCCGCCCCACGTGTATGCGGTGACCGAGGGGGCCTACCGCAGCATGCTGCAAGGTCAGGTGGGAGGGTCACCCCCAAAGTGAGGCAAGCGGGCCACAGGGGGCAGGCCTGAGGGCCCCCCAAGAGCCTAGATGAGCCCAGCAGCCTCTGCAGCTGTCTGCATGTCCTGTGGCAAATGGCAGCAGCGGAGGCCGCACCCTCCCTGGGTGTCTAGAACACCCTTGCTCTGCCTGGCCCCAGGATGGGGGCGGGGACGAGGGGGCACAGAGAGGAAGAGAGCCCTGCGAGGGCCGGGCCTCGGATCATGAGCAGCAGCGTCCTTGGGGGTCAGAACGGCAAGGCCATGCTGACAGTACAGACTGCTTTCCAGATGCTGCCCAAAGACCTCTGGAAGAGAAAAATGGTGTCAGGAAAGTCAGCGTGAGCCAAGAGCTTGAGCAGGCACCCTAAGAAATGAGCCTGGTCTGAGGCTACAGGGAGAGGCATCGTGCCAGATGGGAGGGCCAGGCCGGGGCCCACTCTGCCCTGCTGCGGCCAGGCCACATTGGGAGGACGAGGCTGTGAGGCATGGGAAAGAAGCTGGCCCGGGGGCTCAGATCCCAGCTCTGCCCCTTAGCTGCTGGGCATCCCTGGGCTGGTGGGTTCCTGTGTGCGTGTGTGCGCGTGTGTGCACACGTGTGCGTGACAGAGGGTCCTCGTGTGTCTGTACCCAGGAACCTTCCCAGCAGAGGGGCTTCCTCCGCAGGGGCTGCTTGGCCAGAACACACAGGGCAGTCTTCCACACTCAATGACAGTGCGGGAGAGGAGCTTAGGGTCCCATTGTGGACCTATGCCTTGTGCCCAGGGCGCTTCCCCAGACTCTGGATGAGCTACAAAGACTGAAGCTTTTAAAAAAAATCTTTTTCAGTTAGCAAGCATTTAATTTGTGTCCCACGAGAAGAAGAAAATGAGCACGCATAGCTGAGCAAAGCCGGTGCCCACGTTGGCCAGGCTCACTGAGGCCTAGTCCTGTGCCTCGAGGCCAAGCTCTGGGCAGCCCAGAGGGCCGGCTGCTCGAGACCCCTGTGGTGACGGCAGCCTGGCAGGTCCTTGGAGCCAGCAGGCATCCTGTCTAGCTAAGCAGCCCATAGAGGACAGGACAGGGGAGCTGCAGAGGCGCTGCGAGCTCATCCCCTACACCCCTTGCTTCGCAGAGGGGGAAACCAAGGCAGGGCAGAGATTGACCCCAGGTCCCTCAACTGGGCCTGGGCCCAGTCTATGGGGCCTCATGGGACTTGGGGTTCGGGCAGGGGGGTCAGCTGCCAGGCCTGTGGGCTGTCAGCAGCATCTCAGTGACATCTGTCTCTGTCCCCTACAGACCGGGAGGATCAATCCATACTGTGCACGTGAGTGACCCCCACCCCCAGATTCTGAGGGAGGCGGGATGGCTTGGGGAGGGGGGAGTGAGGCCTGCTGACCTCCCCCTGCTGCCTCTCCCTCAGAGGCGAGTCTGGGGCTGGCAAGACAGAAAACACAAAGAAAGTCATTCAGTACCTGGCTCATGTGGCCTCGTCCCCGAAGGGCCGGCGGGAGCAGGGCGCCCCGGTGAGTCTCCCTCCCGCCGCCCATCCAGGCCCCGGGTTCCTCTGCCCCAGACCCCCCCCCCAAGACCTGTCCATCCAGGTCCTTAGCCTTCCCACCTCAGGGCCCTGCTTCCTGCCCCTTCCCTCCTGGACTCTCCCCTGCAGCACCTCCCTCGGCTCTCCTCTGCCCACCTTCCCTCGTGGTCCAGGTGGGGAAACTGAGAGCCAGCATGGGTAAGGGGCTTCCCTGAGGCTCCGCAGTGAGCCCTGGCTTGGCCTTAAAGTCGCCTGTTGGTGCTTTCTGATTATCAGCCCACCCCCAGCCTGAAAGTCAGTGCAGCCTCAGCCCCGAGGCCCTGAAAGCAGCTGGCTGCTCTGCGAGGGCGGGGGAGTCCAAGGCCCAGAGCTGCGGGGATTTGCCCAGATTTGGGCCACACTCTGGCTTCTTGCCTCCTTAGCTAGGGGGGCCTGCTCCCGTGACTTGTTCAATCCATCATTTCTGGGCCAGGGGAGAGGAAGGGGCTCTCTGGTCGTTAGGAGCCATGGAACCTCTAAAAAATCCTGGAGTGCCTCCGACTTCCTCGTTTGTAAAATGGGGGTAACGAGCCTTGTAGCACGCAAAGAGCTGTGAAGATAGGGCCGTGATGGTTCCGAGGGCAGAAAGTGAGAGGCCAGGACCCAGGGGCCCCCAAAGGTGGCACCTCTGCCCTCTGTGGGATGAGTGAGAGGCTGGGACATGGAGGCCCCCAAAGATGGCACCTCTGGGGGATGAGTGAGAGACCAAGGCCCAGGGGCCCCCAAAGGCAGCACCTCTGGGGGATGAGAGGCCAGGACCCAGGGGCCCCCAAAGGTGGCACCTCTGGGGGACAAGTGAGAGGCCAGGACCAGGGGGCCCCGAAAGGCGACACCTCTGCCCTCTGTGGGATGAGTGAGAGGCCGGGACCTGCGGCCCCCAAAAGCGGCACCTCTGCCCTGTGGGGGACAAGGGCACAAATGATTGTCCCGAAGCAGAGTGGGTCTGGATCAGGGGGAGAGGAGGAGCCCCAAGAAATGGGAGCTTTGGGAGGCCTCTCAGAAGAGGTGCAATGAGTGGGGCTCACAAAGATGCCCAGGGACAGGCTCCTGGCCCAAGGGAAGAAAAATGAGCTCAAGGTACCAGGTGGCCAGTGGAGGCCTTGAATGCCAGGATGAGGAGGGCTGTGTACTCCCGGACCTAAAGCGTGAACAACTAACCATGGGGGCCCTCCGTGTGTCTGTCCTGTGTTCCACTTGCCGTGTCCTGGTCCGTGTCCTGTGTTCCCGTGTGCTGGGTCTGTGTTCTGCCTTCCTGTGAATTCCCCAGACCCCTGCCAGCATGGTGGCCTATGTGAGTAGCGGCCTCCCTCTGCCCAGACCCACCCCCCCACAGTGCCCTGACCCCACGGCCTCCCCCAACCCCCACCCCCACCCCGGCTCAGCCTGCCGGTGACCCCTGTCCCTGGCCCCTCAGGGTGAGCTGGAACGGCAGCTGCTCCAGGCCAACCCCATCTTGGAGGCCTTCGGGAACGCCAAGACCGTGAAGAATGACAACTCTTCTCGCTTCGTGAGCCGTGGGGCCCCGGCGGGTGGGAGCTCCGGGTCTCCGACCCCCCTGTGGGGGACCAGGGCTGGGCAGAGCAGAAGCTGATGTCCCTGGGAGCCGCGCAGGGTGGGCGGGGGACGGATCCCGGGGAGGAGGCAGCGGGCCTGGGGAGTCACCCAGGGCGGGGGGCTTCCACAAGGGGCTGAGGCCTTCCCTGAAAGTGGGAGCAGGCAGAGAAGGGAGGAAGAGCCAGCCCAGCGGAGACAGTCTCCAATTTCCTCTTCTCTCCCGCCCCAGGGCAAATTCATCAGGATCAACTTCGATGTGGCGGGTTACATTGTGGGGGCCAACATCGAGACCTGTATCCTTGGGGCTGGGGGCTTGGAGTGGGGGGCAGCGGGGAGGAGGGCTGGGGGCAGAGGTGGGGAGCATCTGGGGGCTCAGTGTGGGAGGCAGCGGGGAGGAGGGCTGGGGGGGCAGCAGGGAGAGGGGCTAGGGGCAGAGGTGGGGAGCATCTGGGGGCTCAGTATGGGGGGCAGCCACAGAGCTTGCTCGGGTGGGGTCATTGTGGCCTGGCTCCTTGACCGCCCTCACCCCAGACTTGCTGGAGAAGTCCCGGGCCATCCGGCAGGCCAAAGACGAATGCAGCTTCCACATCTTCTACCAGCTCCTTGGGGGCGCCGGGGAGCAGCTGAAAGGTCCGTGGGCTCCTCCTCCCCAGTACGCAGTCATAGGGAGGATGGGGCCCCATAAAACCAAAGGGCTAGTGGGGTCCGGAGAAGAATGCCCTCCCCCCCGTTCTCTGCTCTCAGGCCCCTCCCGGCTTAGGCCAGATCTGAGACCTTCCATGGAGCCCCCGCACTCGTTCTCTGTCCTCTGACCCTGGGATTCTCTTTCTTCCTCCTCTCCAAAGCCCCAGCCCCTCAGAGATGGGGGCCGAGGCTCTCCCCTTTCCGCACTCCACACCCTCTTTTTTTGCTCCCTTCCCCTCTGCCACAGAGGACCTCCTCCTCCAGCCGTGCTCCGAGTATCGCTTCCTCACCAATGGGCCAGCTTCATCCCCAGGCCAGGATCGCGAGCTGTTCCACGAGACTTTGGAATCCCTGCGTGTCCTGGGCTTTACCCACGAGGAGATTGTCTGTGAGTGGGGCTGGGGCCTGAGCTGGGGCACTGGCTTCCGGTCCATCTGCCGGGCCTGAACAGAACATCCCCAGGAGAGGCAACTCCCAGCAGGAGGGGACCCAGCTGCAGCGTGATGCCCGGGTTTCATGCCCAAGTCTGATGGCTCCACATTGGCCATGTTTCCCATGGTGCCCTGCAGTATTGACTTGGAAAGAAGCATGAGACAGAGAGAGAACCCCAGCCAGAGACATGGTTCAAGGCCCAGACTGGCCCCGAGTTGGGGTTGGAGTCTATCAGTCATCAACAAACACTAATTCAGCCCAGCTCTGTCGCAGGCCCTGGGGGGTGGTGTAGAGCAGCTCAGTTAAAACTGGAAAGGCCAGCTCTTAGAGGAACTTGTCTGGCCCTAGTCTTAGAGGGGTAAACTGAGGCAAAGAGAGACTCCATCACATCAGCTTAGAGCTAGAATCACCTGGGCTTCTTTGGCTCTCCCAGACCTGAGCACTTCCGTTTCTAAAACTGACTTCCTTGGGCTTTTCTGCGAGGTTGATAGGGCTGTTTTCATAGACGCGCAGAGGCCCACATGTTACTGGCTCATTTCAGGTCATAGGTGTCAGTCGCTGGGCCCTGCCCATTTTTCAGGTGAGGGTGTCTTCCTCTGTCTTCCTCCAAGAGCTGCCGGCTCCCCTGGGGGCCCATAGGCGCCTCTGGCTTTTCCTCTGGCTTTAGGACCCAGCCCAGGTCTCCGGACCTTCAGCCTCATGCTATCTCCAAGGGCTCAGCAGTCCGCCTACAGACAGACTGGTTTCTACACGCAGAGCCTGGGGTGCTGTTCCCATAAAAAACAATTATGGCAATTAACCAAGCAAGCTGACGATTGTGATCGAAAGCTGAGTTTATAAAAGGCTGCAATGGAGCATGGGAATGGAGGAAGTTTAGCTAGAGTGCTAGTCATATGGAAAAAACCTGAAGGTCTTAGTGGACCACAGCTCAATATGTGTCCATGGCTCCACAACACCTACCATGATTGTAAAGCGCTCAGGGAGAGGAGATGAACTGGGCTGTGTAGGAGAAGTAGGTTTGTTTTGTTTGGCCCCAGGGGTAGCACATTTATTAAGCACCTACTTGTGCCAGGCAGTGGGGACACAGATCTATGAGGGAGGCAGCCTTGCCCTCCAGGAGCCCATGTCCCACACAGACAGGCCCCAGACCCGGGGGACTCACTAACTCCTGGGGGATCAGCAGAGAGGAGGCGTCTGAGCTGATCTGCCACAGGCTGAGGCAGAGGGCAGGGCACATCCTCCCAGGTCCTGATGTCCAGGCCGGGCCGAAGCTTGGGTTGGGGCTAGCCGGATGCTAGCTGGGCAAGGCAGTGCCCACCTGCAGAGGCCCAGAATAAGTCTTGGTGGCAGCTGAGCCCCAGGGCTCGGGCCTTCTTGGCAGGGGTGTTCAGACAGAGGCTGGAGGACCGTGGTGGGGGCTGACCGTTGGTAGTGTCTCGCCATCAGGGCAGGTGCCTGCCTGTCCCCCACCCCAGGAGGGCAGGGTGTGGCCAGCCAAAGAGCAGGCCTTTGGAATGCTCCCAGCTTCCCCCACCTCCCACCTCCGGCCCAGAGGGCTCTTCAGTAGCTGAGGAAGGACACTTGGCATTCCAGTCTGAGCTCCTCAAGACCTGACCCAACAGATGGGGGATGGGGGATGGGCACCAGGCAGCTTGGACCAAGGCCTGGGCCGCCCTGCGGCACTCAGGAGGAGCGAGGGGGCCTGGGGTCAGATCTGGGAGCAGGGGCAGTGAAGGCCTGCTGGGCCTGTTAGGTGGCTAAAGAGAGAGAGAGAGGCAGAGGCAGGTCACAGCCTGCAGGGGCCTGGGGCCCAATTTCATTCTCATACATTCCATGTGCACAAAAGAGAACCAGGCCCTGCTCACCAAGGGCAAGAACCCAGGATGGGGCCTTGGGATGCCCCTGCAGGTGGGGTGAAGGGACAGTGATGAACCCCTGCAGAAGGGTCCCCCAGGAAGGTGTGAGGAGCTAGGCAGAGGAGGGGCAGAGCCTTTAGAGATCAACAATGAGATTTTTGAGGCCAGAGTATTGGGCAGAACTGGGGAGGAGCTGGCCAGGGGACAGCGTGGCTCAGCTCCTCTCTCTCCCAACTCCCACAGCCATGTTACGAGTGGTATCTGCTGTTCTCCAGTTTGGAAACATCTCCCTGAAGAAAGAGAGACATTCAGATCAGGCCACCATGCCAGACAACACAGGTAGCCCCAGGGAGCTGCCAGGGGGCAGTGACTGGGATGAGGGTCTGAGAGGTGCTTTAGGAGACAGCGTCGACTTTGGGGGTAGTGAGCTCCCTGTCACTTGAAGTGTTCAAGCAGCATCTGGCTGATGTAGCTGGAATCCCTGAGCTGGTACATTTAGCTGTACCTAGGTAGCCCCTGGGGCCTCTCCCTCTGTGTGTGTGTGTGTGTGTGTGTGTGTGTGTGTGTGTGTGTGTGTGTGTGTTCCACACATCCAGTCAAGTCCTTGATAAAAGTGTGCAATGATAACAGGGTTGAGAAGTGTCACGGCATTTTAAAATGTCAAAAGGCTTTCCCAGCGACCCCCAAGCATCACAAAGCACCAAGATTCTCTGCCCCTTTGGACGGATGTTTGAAGTCCTCTGATTGGTGCATCAGTGTTTGAATAGAGCCTTCCCACTCCCGCCTGGCAAGCCTGCCCTTGGACCCAAAAAACAGGCAGGCAAAGCCGAGACGCACCTTGACCCCTGGAGAGGAGCAGGCTCCTGGGCTGCTGGCCTGGAGGGTTATTTGGTTACTCTTTCTGTTCTCTTTGCCTGGCTGTCCTGGTCTAGTTTGCTTATCTAGCCCTGCGTACTTGTACAGGCCGTATCAACTTGTATGCCCTTTCCCACATTTCTCTGAGTTCCTCACTTCGTCCTCCTTTTGGTACAAGAGGTCACTCAGCCACCTGCCCATTTGTTTAGCCATTCCCCATTAGGGGCAAAGTCGGAATTAGGTTTCGCTACTACCACAAAGTGCTACTAGGAATCTTTTGGTATTTATAGTACTTTTCATTCTGTGTTTGGCTTTTTTTTTCTTTTTGGTGAGGCAATTGGGTGAAGTGACTTGCCCAGTCACACAGCTAGGGAGTGTTCTATGTCTGAGGCTGGACTTGAACTCGGGTCCTTCTGACTCCAGGGCTGGTGCTCTATGCACTGCATCACCTAGCTGCTTCTGTCCTTGGCTTTATTGAGGGTTTGAAGAACAAAGGATAGGGGTGCTTTAGCCAGTCAGTCAACAAGTGCCCCCTCTGTGCCCAGTTCTGGGGATACAAAGAAAAAGCAAAAACAGTTCCTCCCTCCCCCCCCACCCGCCAGGGAGTTTTCCTTCTAATGGGAGAGACAACATTTATAAATCTGAGCATGTCAATACAGAGCAGATGGAAGGTGACCTTAGAGGAGGCATCACTAACAATTTCAGAGACCATGATGGCCTTCTGAACATGGTGACTTGAGTCAAGGCTTGAAAGAAGTCAGGGACGCTAACAGTTGGAGGCCAGGAGGTAGAAGAACAGCTAGTGCAGAGGCCGACAGTGGGGATGGAGTCACGCTGGTCATGTTCAGAGAGGAGCAGATGACCAGGGCAGCCAGCCTGTGGAGTACCCAGAGAAGAGCACACCATATAGAGCTCCACCAACTATGTATTAGTGTCCCTGTCTTTCTTCAACCTCTCCAACTTTCACTATTCCTATCTCTTGCCATCTTTGCCAGTTCACTGACAGGGAGGTGAAACTCGGAAGTATTCTGAATCATACTCCTCTCATTACTAGTGATTTGGAGGCCATCTCTTTCCTATGGTTGATAAGTTAGCAATTCTTCTTTTGAGAAACTGTTCATATCCTTTGACCACTCACCTATTGGGAAATGACTCTGGGTCTTCTATGTTTTATTATTTCCCTGCATCAGGCCTTTATCAGAGAGATTTTATGTAATTTTTCCCCTAGACTAGAGTGGCCCCTATCCTGGCTGCACTGATTTTGTTTGTGCAAAAGCTTTTTTATCTGCTGTGATGAGATGATCTTTTTTATCTCCTGCAATCTCCTCTATCCTTTGTTTGGTAAACGATTCCTCCCCTAAAATGGCTAAACTCGTTGGGGCACATGGGCGTAATTCAATAATAACTGCACCATAAGAAACCAAAAATAAGAGAAAATTGGAGCCCAGGAAGGTGTATCAGAACTGATGGACAGAAAGAAGAGAAAGCAGGAGAGTGATGGTGGGGATAACATCAGTGGAAAGAACAAAGATGCTGAAATGCTGCCTGATGAGCCCAGAGAAGGTCACTGTTATCAGGAAGATGTGCCTCTCACCTGTCTGTGCAGCAGGGGCTCTGCACACGCTGGCAGGACCAGCCCATTTGGCTGAATGCTCACTCTCTTTTTAACATCCTTATTGGGAGGGAGGGGAGGAAAAGGTTACAGATGAACCAAAGTCAATTTTTTAAAAAGATACATCTAAAGAAATAAAATCTCAGGCAAAGAAAAAAGCAAATTCTTCCCTTAGGTGTAGTCATGAAAGATTTCTCCACCTGTTTTCCTCCAAGAGGGCTCAAGACCTTAACCTGCTTCTTTCCTCCCTGACAGCGGCCCAGAAACTCTGCCGTCTGCTGGGCTTGGGGGTGACCGATTTCTCCCGAGCCCTGCTCTCCCCCCGCATCAAGGTTGGTCGTGACTATGTACAGAAGGCTCAGACCAAGGAGCAGGTACCGACCAGGGTGGGTGGAGGGAGGGGATGGCAGGAGAAGGGCACCCTGGGGAACTGGGAGGGAGCAAGACAGGAAAGGGCGCGTGCCTGGGGGAAAAGAGCTGATTTCTGGTCAGGGTGAGGAATAAGTTCCTCCCCACTGAGAGCTGTCCCATCATGGAATGGGCTGCCAGAGGAAGGAGGGAGAGGACTGTGACTGACCCCATGTGAGGGGTGTTGTGGGAGGTAGGGGTTAAACAAAAGCCCTCTGAGAATGTCTCCTTTCTGCCTCTAACCCCTCATGCTCCTCCATTCTGTCTCTTCTGTTTCTTCTGTCCCATCTCTCCCCCGTCTCTGTCCCTTTCCCCCTCCCCCTCTCTGTCTTCATCCCTCCCCAGACCTCTCTCTCACCCCCTCTGTCTCTGCCCCACCTCCCATCTCTGTCCCTCTCCCAGGGCTCTCACTGCCTGGGGTCAAGGGGACGCCTCCCCAGGTTGGGGGTGGGGGTTGGCCCGAAAGGCCTCTCAGGGCCTGTGTGGCTCAGATGTCCCTCTGATGGCTCCTGCTGTGGTCACGGCGCAGTTGTGGCTCCTGACTCCATCCTGTCTCCAACCCTTCTGGGCCCTCTCTTGCGCACAGGCTGACTTCGCCTTGGAAGCCTTGGCCAAAGCCTCCTATGAGCGCCTCTTTCGCTGGCTTGTGCTTCGCCTCAACCGTGCCCTGGACCGAAGCCCTCGCCAGGGGGCCTCCTTCCTGCTGGGCATCCTGGACATCGCTGGCTTCGAGATCTTCCAAGTGAGATTTGGGCCTTCCCCTGCCCTGTTCTTGGCTGTCCTCAGCGCCTGTTCTGGGCCTCCTCCCACCCAGGCCTCAACTTCTCAGCTTTTCCCCCTCACCACACCGAGGGGTCACCAGCTAGGAAGTCTATGTCTCCTTCCTTGTTCCCTCCCCGTGCCCTCTGTGGCCCTCACCTGTCATACTTGTCCCGTTAGCAGGCCTAGGACTTGGGGTCCTTGTCTTCATGCTGTGGTGGAAAAGCTAAGGGGGAGATGGGCCTGGCCTGGCTGTCCAGCCCCGCCCACCTGGCCTGCCCCACCCACTCTCTGGCCCCTCCCCCTGACCAGCCAGCCCCATCCACTCTCGAGCCCCGCCCGCTCACCTGGCAGGCCGCTCTTTGCAGCTGAACTCCTTTGAGCAGCTGTGCATCAACTACACCAATGAGAAGCTGCAGCAGCTCTTCAACCACACCATGTTCGTGCTGGAGCAGGAGGAGTACCAGCGCGAGGGCATCCCCTGGACCTTCCTGGACTTTGGCCTCGACCTGCAGCCCTGCATTGACCTCATCGAGAGGCCCGTGAGCGCCGCTGCTGCTGCTGGGGGGAGAAGAGGGGCCAGGAGGGAGGAGGGCCTTGGGGGGGGCTCCCAACTCGCTGACCCCATGCCGGCCTCCCCCCCCAGGCCAACCCCCCCCGGGGCTCCTGGCCCTGCTGGACGAGGAGTGCTGGTTTCCCAAGGCCACGGACAAATCCTTTGTGGAGAAGGTGGCCCAAGAGCAGGGCAGCCACCCCAAGTTCCAGCGGCCCCGGCAGCTGCGCGACCAGGCGGACTTCAGCGTGTTGCACTACGCCGGGAAGGTGCGTGCACGTGTGTGTACGCGTGAATGTATATGTGCGTGTGTGAGCACGTGTGTGGTATGCCAGGGCAATGGGGAACCAGGCTGACCCCAGCGAGCTCCATCTACTTGGAAGGGGCGTGTGTAATGCCTGAAAATGAAGGAGAGAACAGTGATAGCGGATGGGAGTGAGCCCAGGATTCCAATTACGGACAGGCCCCCCCCCCATCCCATTTTATACTGTCCGGATGTTGGGGGGAGGGGTAGAAAGGAGTTCCAGCACTTCCATCCTTACGTGACTGAGCCTGAGAGGCAGGAGCCTGACCCCTGCCCCGCCTCCCTCTCCTCCCCACAGGTGGACTACAAGGCCAACGAGTGGCTGATGAAAAACATGGACCCACTGAATGACAGCGTCGCAGCCCTCCTGCACCAGAGCACGGACAAGCTCACAGCGGAGATCTGGAAGGACGGTGAGGACGGCCGGAGGGTGCCTCTGACTGCCCCTACTGACCCCCACCCCAACCCGTAGGTCCTGGACACACTGCCATGCCGAGCCTCTAGAAAGAACCTCCAAAAGCAGACCTCTAGCCTAGGAAAAGAGGGCACCTAGCCATTGGCAGCCGTGAGACAGGAGACTTCGGAGCCAGACGTGGACGGGGGCTTCATCGAAGCTCCTGGAAGGCTTTGTGTGTGACTATATGTCCTCCACCATATGGGGCCAAACCCTGACCGCCCCGCCAAGTATTCCTCCTTCCCTCCCTCCTCTCTCCTCTCCCCTCCTCTCTCTCTCTCCCCTCTCCTTCTCTCTTTCCCTCCCTTCCTATCTGTCTTTCTGTCTTTCTCTCCCTGTCTCTCTCTCTCTCCCTCTCTTTCTGTCTCTCTCTCTCTCTCTCTCTCTCTCTCTCTCTCTCTCTCTCTCTCTCTCTCTCTCTCTCTCCCTCTCTCTGTATCCCTGTCTCTGTCTTTCTGCCTGTCTATTTCTCCCTCCCTCCTTCTTCCACCTCTGGGAGTGACCCTCCCCATCACCCCTCTTGACAGCTACCTTTCCCCTCCACCCTAAGACCCTGGAGTACCCCGCCCCCACCCTGTCTCCCAGTAGCCCATTTCAGGTTATCTCGTGGCTTAAGTCACTTAAGTCACTCTCTTCGGGTGCCTCCCTGGCCCTGGCCCTGCCCTCTGGGGTGACCCCTGCCCCTTCCGGGTCTCCCTGACTCCTGTCTCTCTGTGGCCCGGCCTTGCAGTGGAAGGCATCGTGGGTCTGGAGCAGGTGAGCAGCCTCGGGGACGGGGGTGCACCTGGGGGACGCCCGCGCCGCGGCATGTTCCGGACAGTGGGTCAGCTGTACAAGGAGTCCCTGAGTCGGCTCATGGCCACGCTGAGCAACACCAACCCCAGCTTTGTGCGCTGCATCATCCCCAACCACGAGAAGAGGGTGAGCGCCTGGGACCCTCGAGCCGTCCTGGATGTGGGCCTCTGGCCCCCAGAACCCTCTCAGAGCCTGGCAGCACACAGCAGGGGCTTAATGCATGCTTTTGGAACTCACCCCCAGGTTCAAGCCGTAGAGGAGCAAAGCTAGGTTTGGAGTCAGGGGCTATGTTCAAATCCTGTCCCTCCCCCTTCATACCTGTCAGGGTGGAATTGTAAAGTCTTTAAGACCCCTTCCTGCTCTGAGTCCCCACTCCCACCGGCCCCTGCTCCTGTTGGATTTCTATCAGGAGCCTTCAGGGACGTTCTGGAGAGGCTGCAACTTGTTGAGCTTGGGGTCCACTAAGAGCCCGACCTCCATTTCACATGACCTATGGTAATAATAAGACTAATAGCTAACATTTGTGTAGCGCTTTAAGCTCTATAAGCAAGGTGCTTTACAGAGGTCACCTCATTGTAATGTCTAATGAGGCTTCCTCAGTCTTTGGCTGGTGAAGCTAATTTTTGAAACCTGAAAGTAAGACGATCTTTGTTCCGAGTGGAGTAGATTGTCTTGGCTTCAGCCTCACATCCCAGCCAGTCATGCTTCTGGTGGCCATTGCCCCACGCTCCAGGCGTTCCTCTGCAGTCACAGGGCCCTCACACAGTATGCAGCAAGCCTCTAAGCCCACCCGTGAGGCACTAGTACATTGTGGACTAGACTGTCTGTGCGAGGAGGGTCAGAGAGCCCTGACTGCTGAGGGAGGCCAGGATGACCATGGGTCAGAGAAGGAGGAGGAAGAGGGGGAGGAGGAGGAAGAAGGAAGGGAAGAGGAGGGGAGGAGGAAGAGAAGGAGGGAGAAGAGGAAGAAGAAGGGGAGAGGAGGAAGGAGAAAAGAAGGGAGGAAAAGTTGATCAGGGTCGGGGCAAGGAGGAGGAGGAGGGGGAAGGGGAGGGGAGGAGGAGGATGAAGGAGAAAAGAAGGAAGGGAAGAGGAGGGGAGGAGGAAGAAAAGGGAGAAGAGGGAGAGGAAGGGGGAGGAGGAAGAAGAAAAGGAAGAAGGGGAGATGAGGTGGGAGAGTGGAAGGAAGAAGAGGAGGGGGAGGAAGATGAAGAGGGGAAGGAAGAAGAAAAGGAGGGGGAAGAGGAAGAAGAAAAGAAAGAAAGGAAGAGGATGGGGAGGAAGAAGAAAAGAAGGAAGGGAGGGGGAGGGGAGGAGGAGGAAGAAGAGGAGGAGGGAGCTGTCTAAGGTTGTGCAGCCAATTTTGCCAGGGGCTCTCTTCCCCACCCCCCACCCCTGCCCCCAGCTCCAGCCTGACTTCCTCTCCTGTCCCAGGCAGGGAAGCTGGAGCCTCGGCTGGTGCTGGACCAGCTACGCTGTAATGGGGTCCTGGAGGGGATCCGCATCTGCCGCCAGGGCTTCCCCAATCGAATCCTGTTTCAGGAATTTCGGCAGAGGTGAGCAGTGGGCCGTGGCGGGGCTGGAGCCGAGGGAAGGGGCTGGTTGGGGCTGGTGGGAGGAGAGGGGACTCTCCTCATGGCCCTCCCAGGGATGGCAGGGGTAGGAGGGGCGGTGATCTAGCCAGACGGTGGGGTAACAGGGACATCCAGGCCTGCACTCCCTGGGAAGATATTCTAACGCCCTTGGCCTTTGACTGGTGGCCTTGCTGCGGCTCCTCTCTGGGAGGTGCCACCATTGGGAGACACGGCCAGGTGGGGAAAGGGGCTCTCTCCCCTGACCCCCAAATCACAGTCCGGCCACAACGTCGAACGACAGAGTTGTCCAAATAGGAAGTTGCCAGCTAGGCTGCCCGAGACCCCAAGTCCTTGCTCTGGGCTCAAAGCTTCCTAATTAATGGCTCCGAGGCAGGGAAGGCCTACGCGGGTGGGTGTATTGGATGGCTGATGATTGGGCTAGAAGGAGCCGGTCCTGCTGGCCATGGGGGTGGGGGGCTCCCAGGTGCCCGGCCCTCTCTCCTCCTCATCCACCTCACTGTCCTTCCCTTCTCCTCGGCTCACTCGGCAGGTATGAGATCCTGACTCCCAATGCCATCCCCAAGGGCTTCATGGATGGGAAACAGGCCTGCGAGAAGATGGTAAGGGCTGGGGCGGGGCCTGAGTGTGCTAAGTATGGAGGGGCAGGGCTGGGCTGGCCTGGAGGGTAGGGCGGGGCTCCTCACCTTTCACCCCACCCCATCCCAACTGACTCTCCCCATGCTCCCCGCCCCAGATCCAGGCCCTGGAGCTGGACCCCAACCTGTACCGTGTCGGCCAAAGCAAAATCTTTTTCCGGGCCGGTGTCCTGGCCCAGTTGGAGGAAGAGCGGGACCTCAAGATCACAGACATCATCGTGTCCTTCCAAGCGGCTGCCCGAGGATACTTGGCCCGAAGGTGGGCAGAAGGCTGGCTTACTCGGGATGCCCTGGCTCGATCCCTTTTCTGCCCTTGAAGGGCTCCCCACAGGCAACTGAGCCCCAAGGGGCCTCCCCCATTTCTGAGCCAGGGCCCCGGGGGAGAGGGGAAGGATGTGTGATGAGGGGCCCGGGAGCCTGGGGCTTGAATCTATCCAATGACAGCAGGTAACAAACGGGCAGCTCACCACCTTATCTGGTCTAGAGTAACTTCCATCTTGTTTCAAAGGAGGGTATTAGATGAGGTGCCCTTCCCTACCCCCGGGTGCCCTCCTCCACCCCCGGGTGCCCTCCTGAGCCTCTGCGGGCAGGTGGGCTGAGCCAGCCCCCCCCTGGGCCCACAGGGCTTTCCACAGACGCCAGCAGCAGCAGAGTGCCCTGCGGGTGATGCAGAGGAACTGCGCCGCCTACCTCAAGCTCCGCCATTGGCAGTGGTGGCGCCTCTTTACCAAGGTGAGGGACTGTCCCATCCTGCCACCCTGTGGGGAGCTGAGGGGGGGACCTAGAAATCAGCCCCATTTCACAGAGGAGGACACTGAGGCCTGGCAGATAGCAAGGAATAAAGGCAGGATGTGAGCTCGGCTCTCTCCACTGCCCCTCTGTCTCTCCCCAAGTCCAGCCCCAATCGCTGCCCGTTTTGTCTATGGGGAGATGGAGCTTCTAGTGCTTGTGGGTGGCACAGCTAGACTTTGGGCAGACAGGGATTTGTAATGTATCACACACCCTCCAGGTGTGAGTACAGCCCCTCCCCAGCCTGCCTTCTCATTTCCATTCTTAGCTGACAGAGGGTGCTCACCACTGTCCCCCCTGCCCCCTGCCCCTGGCCAGCCAAGGGAGCCGCCCTCCCCCTGAGGTGACCTCGAGCCTCTGCCCCCCCTGCCCTCTGCTCCCTGCCCCCAGCCAGCCGAGGGAGCCGCCCTCCCCCTGAGGTGACCTCGAGCCTCTGCCCCCCCTGCCCTCTGCTCCCTGCCCCCCAGCCAGCCGAGGGAGCCGCCCTCCCCCTGAGGTGACCTCGAGCCTCTGCCCCCCCTGCCCTCTGCTCCCTGCCCCCCAGCCAGCCGAGGGAGCCGCCCTCCCCTGAGGTGACCTCGAGCCTCTGCCCCCCTGCCCTCTGCTTCCTGCCCCCAGCCAGCCGAGGAGCTGCCCTCCCCCTGAGGTGACCTCGAGCCTCTGCCCCCCTGCCCTCTGCTCCCTGCCCCCCAGCCAGCCGAGGGAGCTGCCCTCCCCCTGAGGTGACCTTGTGTCTCTTCTGTATGTATCTTTCATGCTCCCAGTTCTGCCCACGTGTTGTTGGCCCCATTAGAGCATAAAGCCCCAGCAGGGCAGGACTAGCTTAGCCCAGCACCTGGTACATCATTAATACTTGTTGGTCAATTGACAAAAGTTTGGGATTTCTGGACATAAACCTGGAAGGGCCCTTAGAGTCCCTCCCCCTCTCACCATCATTTTACAGATGAGGAAATTGAGGCCCAGAGATAGGAAGAGCCATGCCCAGAGGGTACAAGGCCTCTCAGAGTGGGCAGGGGAGGTGTCCTTTAACTACCCCCACCCAAGTCCTTTATTTTTCCTTTTCCAAAGCATTGCTATGGAGAAGTGTGGGCTCTTAGACCCTGGCCTGTCTGGCCCTTCTCCCATAGCAGGGTCCCTCCTCTCTGCTCTCCCCTCACTCCTCTGACCTTCCCTTCCCCCTCTCCAGGTGAAGCCGCTTCTTCAGGTGACCCGCCAGGATGAAGTACTCCAGGCACGGGCCCAGGAGCTCCAGAAGGTGCAAGAGCTGCAGCAACAGAGTGCCCGTGAGCTGGATCAGCTCCAAGAACGAGTGCACCAGGTGAGGTACAGGGATGAGCTTGGGCCCCCTTCCCCTCACCATCAGAGTGACCAGCATAGGTAGTGACCTCTCTGTCCATGGAGGGATGAGCCTGGCCCCCTTCCCCTCACCATCAGACTGACCAGTATAGGTAGTGACCTCTCTGTCCATAGAGGGATGAGCCTGGCCCCCTTCCCCTCACCATCAGAGTGATCAGTATAGGTAGTGACCTCTCTGTCCATGGAGGGATGAGCCTGGCCCCCTTGCCCTCACCATCAGAGAGGTCACTACCAGTATAGGTAGTGACCTCTCTGTCCATAGAGGGATGAACCTGGGGCCCTCAGCTTGGTCTAAAATGGTAGGACCACAGCAGACAGATGGCCCAGGAAATGCCCCGTCTGGCAGATGGGGAGAGAACAGCTCAGAGATTATCGGGTGGGAATCACTGCACAGAGGTAGAGAGCCATCAGGAGAAGACTGGAGACCTTGCAGGCCATAGGGAGCTATGGGAGATTCTAGAGCAGAGTGGGGATGTTGTTTCACCCTGAGGTTGTCAGAGTGTGACCTTGCACATGTGATGGTGTGTCCAGGGTGTGTGTGACCCTGCATGTACACAGGCTTGGGGAGGGTTCATCAATGAAGAATGGGAGAACTGAAGGGGTGGGGAGGAGGGAAGGCTTCAGAGGAGAGGTTCCAAAACAGGGTGACCACGTGGGCAGAGCCAGACACAGGTAATGACATGTCAGGCTCAGGGTCAGGAACCCGGTACTACGTGCAGAAAGGGGCGGGCAATGAGGCCCAAGAAGCCAGGGCTCCCTTGTTGAAAGCCTCGAATGCCAGGATCAGAGGCAGTGCCTCTGGGGCCAGTGGACCTGCCACCTCCTTGACCTTTGCTCCCCTGCCCCTCATTCAGCTGGAGGAGGAGAGAGCCCGGCTCTCGGAGCAGCTGCGGGCAGAGGCTGAGCTGTGTGCCGAGGCCGAGGAGACCCGGGGCCGCCTGGCGGCCCGGAAGCAGGAGCTGGAGACGGTGGTGGGCATGTTGGAGGCCCGGGTGGGTGAGGAAGAGGAGCGTAGCGTGCAGCTGGAGACGGACAAGAAGCGGCTGCAGCAGCATGTGCAGGTGACCAGCCTCGAGTGCTGCCTCTGTGTGACCCTGGCCAGTCACATGGCCACTCACTGCTCTTTGAGAAGGTCTCCACCTGTGTCAGCGGAGGGAATTGCCTCACCTGGGAGCCTCCTTCAGTCCCTCTCCCTGGCTTCCCTCTTGTTTGGTGGGCATGACCTGTGTGGGGCGGGAGGACCAGTACCACCTGTGTAGGGAGCTGGGCCACCTACAGAGTGAAGGTGGGCCGCCCAGGGCAGGGGCACCCGAGAGGCAGGTGGGAGGCAGCCCCGTGCTGTGGTGACTCTTCCGCTCCCTCCACCCCAGGAGCTGGAACAGCACCTCGAGGCAGAGGAGGGGGCCCGACAGAAACTGCAGCTGGAGAAGGTGACCACTGAGGCCCGGCTGAAGAAGATGGAAGAGGATCTGCTGCTTTTGGAGGACCAGAACGCCAAGCTGGGCAAGGTGGGCCACGTGCCTCCGCTGACTCCTCTGTAAGATCAGGGGGTTAGAGCAGGCCAAGCTCAGGAAGCAGCGGCTGCTGCTGCTGCGGACCTGTGGGGGATGGTAGTGAGCTCCCCATCACTGGAGGCCCAGGACAGGCAGGGGAGCCCCGCTGACACATGCCTCCCCCTGTGTCCCCAGGAGCGGCGGCTGCTAGAGGAGCGTCTGGCAGAGTTCTCCTCCCAGGCGGCTGAAGAGGAAGAAAAGGTGAAGAGCCTTAGCAAACTCAGGCACAAATATGAGGCCGTGATGGCCGACATGGAAGGTGAGACACGCCCCACCCCGCGTGGGTGTGCCTCCCTCTGCCACACCACGTTCTGTGTCCCCCCCAGCTCTGCCACGCCGTGTTCTGTGTCCCCACCAGCTCTGCCACGCCGTGTTCTGTGTCCCCCCCCGCTCTGCCACGCCGTGTTCTGTGTCCCCCCCCAGCTCTGCCACGCCGTGTTCTGTGTCCCCACCAGCTCTGCCACGCCGTGTTCTGTGTCCCCACCAGCTCTGCCACGCCGTGTTCTGTGTCCCCCCCCGCTCTGCCACGCCGTGTTCTGTGTCCCCCCCAGCTCTGCCACGCCGTGTTCTGTGTCCCCCCCAGCTCTGCCACGCCGTGTTCTGTGTCCCGAGCCTCCCCCGCCCCAGCTCCAACATTCCTGTCATTTTCCTCCTAATTTTCCCCCTGCCCCCACCCCTGGCACACTCCCTCCTAACTTCAAGGAGCTAATGGCGCCATGGGGCCTGGCGGATCTGGGCACCCTGGCCCGGTCCCATGGCGGCCAGCCTGGTCCTGGCTTTGGGTGGGACCCTGCTTTGTGGGCTGTGCCCCAGTTCACACGGGCCAGGTTGTGTTCCTTTGGATTCTCAGGGCCCAGGATCCCCACCATTCTGGTGTGGAGAGGCCCTTCCACACCCTCACCGCTGCCCTCTGGGCCCCTCCCCCTGCAGAACGGCTCAAGCTGGAGGAGAAAAGCCGCCAAGAGCTGGAGAAAACCAAGCGGCGCCTGGACGGGGAGAGCTCAGAGCTGCAGGAGCAGATGCTGGAGCAGCAGCGCCGGGCGGAGGAGCTCCGTGCCCAGCTGGGCCGCAAGGAGGAGGAGCTCCAGGCTGCCCTGGCCAGGTAGGCAGCCTGCCCCCCCCAGGGACCCCGAGACCCCCCAGCCACCAGCCCCCCCAGGGACCCTGAGACCCCCCCAAGCCACCAGCGCCCCCAGGGACCCCGAGATCCCCCCCAGCCACCAGCCCCCCCAGGGACCCTGAGAACCCTCCCAGCCACCAGCCCCTGGGGGGCCCTGAGGCCCCCCCAGCCACCAGACCCCCAGGGACCCTGAGACCCCCCCAAGCCACCAGCCCCCCCAGGGACCCCGAGATCCCCCCCAGCCACCAGCCTCCCCAGGGACCCGAGAACCCCCCAGCCATCAGCCCCCCCAGGGACCCCGAGAACCCCCAGCCATCAGCCCCCCAGGAACCCCGAGAACCCTCCCAGCCACCAGCCCCCCCCAGGGACCCTGAGAACCCTCCCAGCCACCAGCCCCTGGGGGGCCCTGAGGCCCCCCCAGCCACCAGACCCCCAGGGACCCCGAGACCGCCCCAGCCACCAGCCTCCCCAGGGACCCCGAGACCCCCCCCAGCCACCAGCCCCCCCAGGGACCCTGAGACCCCCCCAGCCACCAGCCCCCCCAGGGACCCCGAGACCCCCTCCAGCCACCAGCCCCCCCAGGGACCCCGAGACCCCCTCCAGCCACCAGCCCCCCCAGGGACCCTGAGACCCCCCCAAGCCACCAGCCCCCCCAGGGACCCTGAGACCCCCCAGCCACCAGCCCCCCCCAGGGACCCTGAGAACCCTCCCAGCCACCAGCCCCCCCAGGGACCCCGAGACCCCCCAGCCACCAGCCCCCCCAGGGACCCCGAGACCCCCCAGCCATCAGCCCCCCCCCGGAACCCCAAGAACCCTCCCAGCCACCAGCCCCCCCAGGGACCCCGAGACCCCCCCAGCCACCAGCCCCCCCAGGGACCCTGAGATCCCTGGGGGGGCTGGTGGCTGGGGGAGTCTTGGGGGGGACCTCGGTAGTGCCCCTGCGTGAGGCAGGAATCCCCCCCCCACTGCAGACCCCACTCCCAGAAATCCAGGCCCAAGGACTCCACAGTCTAAGCTGGGGGCGCCGTCAGCCTGCCCCCCCCAGAGCGTTCAGTCCCCTCCCTTCCTCCCCAGGGCCGAGGAGGAGGGCGGGGCCCGGGCCACGCTGCTCAAGTCCCTTCGAGAGGCCCAGGCAGGGCTGGCCGAAGCCCAGGAAGACCTGGAAGCCGAGAGGGCAGCGCGGACGAAGGCGGAGAAGCAGCGTCGAGACCTTGGGGAGGAGCTGGAGGCCCTCCGGGGGGAGCTGGAAGACACGCTGGACTCCACCAATGCCCAGCAGGAGCTCCGGTGAGAGAAGCGGGAGGCCTTTCTGGGACCCTGGGCAAGCACTCCCTCCTTTGTAAAATGGACTCAGGGGGCTAAACATATAGGCCTGGGTTCGAGTCCTGACCTGTGGGATCCTGGGCAGATTCCTTCACTTCTCTGGGCCTCCAGTCCTGGAGTGCTCCCCACCCATCCAGACAACAGGCATTGATGAGAGTAAGGTCCTCCTTGTACCTACCCTGGGGAGCTCCTGTAGGGGATGGCTGATGCTGATACCTGCTGATGGGGGCTGGGGTGGTCCTTATCAATCAGGACCCTCCAGAAAGGTTTTCTGGAGGAGGCGGCATTTGAGCTGACTTCTACAGGTAGTGATGGGGAGTGAGAATGATCTCGGCATGGTTAGTGCAGCAGCAAATGCTTGGCGGTGGGAAGGTTTGGGGGACGTTGTGTGAAGGCTGGAAAGGGGAAGGCTGAACTCCTAGCTAAGGGACCCTGGCCCTACTCTGTGGGTGGCAGGGAGTACGTGTGTGAGCCCACAGGAGGACAAGACCAGGCCTATGCAGGAGGCTGGTGCCCTTAGGGCCTGGAGGATGAGGCCTGGGGTGGGGGTGGGGTTCCCAAGGGAGGCCTGTTGTTTCAACATGAACTTTCCAGTCCACACAAAGCCCAGATCTCTCTCAGACCAGCTGCTGCGAGACTTTCCTCCCCAAGTCCACGTAGGAAATTGATTTCTCGAACCCAAGTATAAAACCTGACATTGGTCCCTTATTCAGAATTTCTTGAGCCCAACGGTAAAGCCAGACATCGATCCCTTGGCCCTGGGCAGGCTGCCTGTGCCCTGACTCTGCCCTGCAGCCCTCCCAGTGGTGTGGGGTCCTCCACAGGCCTGATAAGGCTCCAGTTACAAATCATTCTTTCTCTTTCACTCACCAGGACCAAGCGGGAGCAGGAAGTGTCCGAGCTGAAGCGGGCACTGGAGGAAGAGACGCGCAGCCATGAAGCTGTCGTCCAGGAGCTACGGCAACGTCACGGCCAGGCCCTGGGCGAGCTAGGCGAACAGTTAGAACAGGCGCGGCGGGTGAGAGCGAGGGCTGGTGCCCCCACCCCCCAGCCTCGGTGTCCCAGCTCTGCTCTGGCTCTCCAGTGACAGGCCTGAGCAAGCTGCAAAGTGAAGGTTTAATGGCCACCATCCAGGGTCCCTTCTAGCCTGGAAAGCCACTGCTGGACATGTGTCACTTGGCTGTACCTCCCTCTTTCCCGCCTCTGGAGAGTCGATTCCCTAGCAAAGTCCCTAGGAATGGCCACTGGTTCTCACGGTCTGGAAACAAGGACCTGAGCAACAGTCCCAGGACCTAATGGGTGTCATCAGCCATTACATTCTCTGCCTCTTTGCCTGGGTCCGTCCCCCCAGGCAGGGAGTGGCAGTTCTGGTCTGGCTGAAGAGCCCCAGGAGGGCCTAGAGGTCGCTTCAGGGCAGGGGGAGGGTGTGAAAAGAGGGAGGCCCTGGCATCAGACCCCTTCTCAGGAAAATGAGGGGCTGACTGGCTGGACAGTCTGTTTTATTTATTTACTTACTTATTGGTGATGCAGTTGGAGTTAAGTGACTTGCCCAGAGTCACACAGCTACTGAGTGTTATGTGCCTGAGTCCAGATTTGAGCTCAAGTCTTCCTGACTCCCAGGCCGGTGCTCTGTCCACTGCGCCACCTAACTGCCCCTTCCAATAGTCTGTTAAAAGCCTTTCTAGGGAGCAGGCCCCAAGAGAGGGAGGGAGCCTCCCTCTCCTGCTTCAGAGAGACTGGCTTCTGAGATTCCTCGAGCCGTGTCCCTGGAAAAGACATGGGCCTTAATGGAGAAATGCTGGTCCTGAGAGATGGGGCTGAGGCTCTAAGACCATCAGCTGAGACACAACCCTTCTTGGGGCACAGGGCACCGCATTGGGCACAGGAAGACCTGAGTTCAAAACTGGCTGCAGCCTGGTAGCTGGGCAAGTCATGTCACCTCTGCCTCAGTTTCCTCACCTATAAAATGAAGGGGTTGGACCCAATGGCCTAAATCTATGGCCCTGTAATCTCTCTGTGTCTCTCTCTCCCTTCCTCTCTCTTTCCCCATCCCTCCTTCCCTCCTTTCTCTTCCACCTCCCCTCCCCCCTCTGTCTCTGTCTTTCTGGCCCTGAACTGAGCCCCAGCTGGGCCTTTTCTGGACGTGAGGGGTCAGAACCTGGCCTTGCAGGAAGCAGGGGATGTTCTCAAGGTCACCCCGGGTCACAGATAACCACTGGCTCTCTCCCGTCTGCTTTGACATATGTGTGAGACCTGCCAGGCCGGCCAAAGGGAGGGGCGAGCCTGAGGAGAAAGCCCCCTCTAGGGGCAGCTAGATGGCACAGTGGATTGAGCTCTGCCCTTGAAATCAGGAAGACATGAGTTCAAATCCAGTCTCAGACACATGACACTTACTAGCTGTGTGACACTGGGGGAGGTCACTTAACCCCAATTGCCTCACCAAAAGGAAAAAAGAAAAACAAGTCCCCTCTGCCTCCCGGCCTCAGGCTTAGGGCCTGAGCCTCCCAGGCAGGGATCCCCCCAGGGCCGGGCCCCGAGTGCAGGAAGCCCTTTCTGTGTCCACATCCCTGATTTCATCAGGCAGGGCTGTTCCTGTGGAGGAAACTCCTCCCCTGAGACACGAGTCCCCTCCGCAGCGAGCTGACCCCAGGGGCTGCTGGCCCTGAGAGGCAGGGAGGGTGAGCATTATCAGCGCCACCTTCAGGCAAGGAAACAGGCTTGGAGGAGAACACAGCTTGCTCAAGATCACTTAGCTAGGATTCGAACCCAGGTCACTTGACTCCAAGGCACTGAACCAGTACACCGATCAGCGTGCATTTACTAAATCTCTGCAGTGTGCCAGGCAGTGCAGCAGGCGCTGGCATGTGAAGCAGAGCCCTGCCCTCACATATCTTATCAAAACAGACACAGAACACATACAGTGGAAGTGGGGTGGGGGGAGCGGGGACCTCGTGTAGGAGGTCGCACTAGAACTGAGCTTGGAAAGAAAGCTGGGATTGATTTTAAGAGGCAGAGGTGAGGAGAGAGCATTCCAGGCATGAGGCACAGCAGCCAAAGGCCCAGGAATGGGAGATGGAGTGGTGTGTGTGAATGGGAGAGCTCAGTGGCTCTCTAGATCATGGGGTAAAACTCAGTCAAAACAAGGGTCCCTAAACCGTATCACAGGATTCCTACCAGCTTAGAAACCACAGGTTAGTGGTAGTGGTAGTAGTAGTAGTAGTAGTAGTAGTAGTAGTAGTAGTAGTAGTAGTAGTAGTAGTAGTAGTAATGCACATTAAAATCCCAGAGGAGCAATGAGGCCGCCCTCACTGGACAGCTCCCATCTCCCTCCGTGAGACTGTGGCCCTGCTCCGGATTGAACAGTTGATAAGTGGCAGAAACAGGCCTCCAATCTGGGTCTTCCAACTCAGAGACAAAGAGCAGAAGGACCGAGGACCTGGGTTTGGGTCCTGTTTTGGGTACTCGGTAGCTGCGTGGTCCCAGTAAATCCTCTCTCCTGTCTCAGGCATTTTATCTGTAAGATCGGGTACCTACTGTGCCGGGTCATAGACGGACACGTCCTGCAGCCCTTCCAGGGCTGGGCCCAGGACCTCATTCTCTGCCATCTCCCCCAGGGCAAAGGTGCTTGGGAGAAGACCCGACTGGCCCTGGAAGCCGAGGTGTCCGAGCTGCGGGCCGAGCTGGGCAGCCTGCAGGCTTCGCGGCAGGAGGGCGACCAGCGGCGCCGGCGGCTCGAGACCCAGCTGCAGGAGCTGCAGGCCCGGGCTGGCGATGGCGAGCGCACCCGGGCCGAAGCGGCCGACAAGCTGCAGAGAGCCCAGGTGAGCCTGGCCTGCGGCCGGAGGGGACTCAGGTGAGATTGGGAGGTGGGGTCCTTGGCCTTCGGACCCCGGCGAGACCAGCGCGGGCCTGCGCAGCACCCCCCCCCCCCAGGGCTTTTCTTCTCCATCATCAATCAATCCGCAAAGTAGTTAGTGAGCATCCGCTGTACGTCAGGCACTGCCAATCCTGGCAGTGAGGCAGAGCCTGCCCTCAGGAAGCCCAGGGTGCCCAGGTGTTTGGCCACTTCTTTGGCATCGTCCTAGTTCCCTTCCCTGTATTCTCCCGTTTGTCGGCGTCTTTAGAAAGTACTAGACACCGCTGCGGGGTCTCCCCACCCCCGCCGCAGAATCTCCTTTTTTGGCCTCTCTGGGTCTCAGTGTTCCCAACTGTGGAACTGGGAAGGAGGGGATCAGACTTCTCCAAGCCTTTCCCCTCCCACCCTTCGCATGCGGATGACCAGGGAGGGAAGGATCGGGCAGCCAGAGCCGCGCTGATGGGGAGTCTCTGCGCCCCTCTCAGGCGGAGCTGGACAGTGTCTCGGGGGCCCTGAGTGAGGCCGAGTCCAAAGTGATCCGCCTAAGTAAGGAGCTGAGCAGCGCCGAAGTCCAGCTCCATGACGCGCAGGTAAAGAAAGGGGAACGAACACTGCAGCCGACTCACCGCCAGCCCGCCTTCCCTCTGGCACAGTCCCACACGCACAGCCGGGGAGCCTGGTTCCGCCATGTAGAAGCCAGGTCACCTTGGACAAGTCCCCTTCCCTGTCTGGGCCTTGCTGAAGTGATCTCTGGGTCCCTTCCCCCGGTTCTGCATCAGCCCAGGACCCCACCTCTCTAAAATGAAAAAGGGACTCTGGCTAGGCTAGCTCGGAACTCCTGTGACCCCTCCCTCTGTTCATTTGTCCATCCATCTGTCTACCCCCAGTCCTCCCCCAGTGCCCATCCCCATTACTCCTTCTTCCTTCTCCCCCAACCGCCATCAACCTGTCCCACCCCCAGGAGCTCCTGCAGGAGGAGACACGGGCCAAGCTGGCCCTGGGGTCCCGGGTTCGAGGGCTGGAGAGCGAGGCCGCTGGGCTGCGGGAACAGCTGGAGGAAGAGGCAGCGGCCAGGGAGCGAGCCGGGAGGGAGCTGCAGACGGCCCAGGCCCAGGTGAGCTGTGAGGGAAGGGAAATGCCCTTGTCTGGGGCTGTCGGGGGGGGGGGAAGGGGAACACCTGTCATTGATCACCTTGGAGGTTCGGGAGAGGGACGATGGTTGTCCAAAGCAGGAGGACCCGGTTTGAGGAAAGATGCCACAGGTGGCGTGGACCCCCAAGCAGACCAGATACCCGTGTGGATTTATGGCCTCGGCTAAGGAGAGAGGTCAGGGTTGCATGGGAAAGCTGAGAGATGGGCAGGTTGCAGTCACAGCTACAGGAGTGGATGAGAGGGTCCAGAGAAGGCCAATAGAAGCCTGAGACCATCCACGCTGGCCCTGGGAGAGGAGGGTGAAGGGAGGAGGACAGCCATCCCGAGAACTAAAGGAAGGTAGATTGGAGGAGACACCCTTGGCCGACAGCCCCCTCAGGAGCTGGGAGAGGAGACAAGGAAGGTGCCATAGGAGACGTCTCACCCAAGATCTCGGTGGCCACATATGACGGAAATTCTCACCGGGACATTAAAGTGGTAGTCTGGCCTAGTGCGCAGAGCCCAGGCTAGAGCCAGCCCGGGGTGAGGGAGGACCAGAGCTGGCATAGGAGGAGGGGGAAGAGACTCGAAGATTGGATGATGGATTGGTGGGATGTTTAGAGGGTCCGGAGCTCGGGAGGAGGGGATCACTGGCTGACATCCCCATGACCACGAGGGCAGAGAGAAGGAACCCTGGAGGACCCCCAAAGTGAAGAGCGGGAGAAACACGGGAGGGGTTCCAGGACAGAGCCTGAGGTGTGGGAGAGGCTGGCTGCCCACCCTGAAGGAAGTTCAGGACTCAGGCCTCTGGGGCCGAGCATTGAGGGCTCAAGGTGAACCCCATCCCCCAGCTGTCAGAGTGGCGGCGGCGGCAAGAGGAAGAGGCAGGAGCCCTGGAGGCCGGAGAGGAGGCCCGCCGGCGGGCGGCCCGAGAGGCCGAGGCCTTGGCCCAGAGGCTGGCCGAGAAGACCGAGGCGACCGAGCGGCTGGAGAGGGGCCGGCGGCAGCTGCAGCAGGAGCTAGACGATGTCTCCATGGATCTGGAGCAGCAGCGGCACCTCGTCAGCAGCCTGGAGAAGAAACAGAAGAAGTTCGACCAGGTACTTGGGGAGTAGGGTGAGGAGCCTCAGAGCTGGAAGTGACGGGGACCTCTGCTTGGAGACCTCCAGTGCCAAGAGGCAGCTCAGACTCGGGAATCCAGACCCTGTGGGAGTCGGTCAGACTCGCCCCCTGCCAGGTCAGGCTCAACCTGGTTTCTCTGCTTTCTGGGCCATCCCCTGGACAGCCCTCTTGTCCCTCAAGTCAGGTGAACTTGCAGACTTACTGTGTGTGCTGGGGATAGAAAGAAAGGCAAAACCTCAGTCCTGGCCCGGGAGGAGCTCCACACCTGGCCAATAATGATGAGCCCAGGAGCTCATCACCCAGGCAGGAGAAACTGGGGGTTCTGTTGGAGGGAAGGAGGAAGGGGGGGGTTGTAGCCCCGATTGTAGCCTCAGTCCTGGGCCCCAGACTCTCTCAGAGCCCAGGAGGGGCCAGGCCCTGGGAGTTCTTTTTGGTCCCCACCGACCTGGTTCTCGTGAGCACAGACATTGTGTTTGTCTGGGCCTTGGGCACGATGTGGCCCAGAGAAGGCCAGGAGCTGGTGTGGTCACCCAACCAGGCCGAAGCTTTGGGCTCCCTGGGCTCATCCGTCGGACTGTACATCTTTCCTCCTCCTCATCCTCCTGGGGGCTTGTGCCTCTTTCTGATCAGCTCCTGGCAGAGGAGAAAGCAGTGTCCCAGAGGGCGGTGGAGGAACGGGAGCGGGCAGAGGCTGAGGGCAGGGAGCGAGAGGCCCGGGCCCTGGCGCTGGCCCGGGCCCTGGAAGAGGAGCGTGAGGCTCGGGAGGAGTTGGAGCGGCAGAACCGGGCCCTCCGGGCAGAGCTGGAGGAGCTGCTGAGTAACAAGGACGACGTGGGCAAGAGCGTAAGGCCGGACCCTGCCAGCCGGCGGGCCCCTCCTTGTCCCCGGGGCCCCTCCCCGCAGCCGGGGCCCCTCCCCCTGCCCGCGGGCCCCTCCTCGCCCCCTCAGGGCCCCGGGCTCCCTCTGTGCCTCCCCCGGCCTAGTGCTCACTCGCTAGTCTCCCCAGGTGCACGAAATGGAGAGAGCCCGCCGGGCAGCGGAGCAGGCGGCCGCCGACCTTCGCACTCAGGTAACGGAGCTGGAGGACGAGCTGATGGCCGCCGAGGACGCTAAGCTGCGCCTGGAGGTGACGGCCCAGGCGCTGAAGGCTCAGCATGAGCGGGAGCTGCAGGGCCGGGATGAGGCTGGCGAGGAGAGGAGGCGGCTTCTGGCCAAGCAGGTGGGGCCCCGGGCGGCGAGGCCCCCCAAGGAGGGAGGAGGCACCCTAGGGAGTAGAGAAGCCCCCAAGGAAGTGGGGAGGCCCCCGAGGGAGTAGGGAGGCCCTGAGGCAGGGGGGAGGAAGCAGGGAGGCGTTGAGGCAGGGGGGGGCCCCGAGAGCTGAGGGAAGCAGGCTGGCCAGCAGGCCCCAGTGGGTGGGCTGACCTGCCCCTCGTCTGCCCCCTTCCCTTAGTTAAGGGACGCGGAGGTCGAGCGCGATGAGGAGAGGAAGCAGAGGGCGCTGGCCATGGCCGCCCGCAAGAAGGCAGAGCTGGAGCTGGAGGAGTTGAAGGCCCAGGTGGGCTCTGCGGGTCAGGGAAAGGAAGAGGCCATGAAGCAGCTGCGGAAGACACAGGTGGGCACAGGGCTGCGGCCGGGTGGGTGGCCCTGGCATCCAAGCGGACACCACAAGAATTGATTTACTTTGTCTTTCCTGAATTTAATGATCCCCCTCACCCCAATTGCATTTTCAGAGTAGAACAGAAAGAGCAAATGGGAATATTGCATGTAGCTTACATAGGCATTTATTAAGCACCTGCTGTTTACCAGGCACCACTAAGTGAGAGGGATTGGGTCCAGGCTTACTTTATAAGGGGAGAGGAGTCACCCCTGACTCAAAAAAGTGCCCTCCTCCCCCAAACATTTTCTTCTAAGCCCATGCTCCCAGACTGCCTTTCTTTCTTTCCTGGGCATGGCATAGAAGGGTTTCTTTGAGGGGCAAGGGTCACCCTAAATGCCTCTGAGGTTCTTTCCACCTCTGAGATGATTAGATTCTATAACTAGGGTTAGACCAAAGGGGGTTTGTGGCCTCCGAGTTGGTGATGGGCGTCTTCCTGCTGGGCCCCAGGGTCCAAGTTTGTGGGCAGAAGCTGTCTCTTTCTGGAACCATCTGGAAAGAGTCCCAGACTGGGAAGCCAGGCCCAGGGTCCTGTCTCCCTCTTTGCCACTGGCCTACGTAAGGCCCTGGATCAGCCATTCCAGCAGATGTTTTATTGAGCATCTGTTATGTACCAGGTAATGCAATCACAGAGGTGAGCTAGCCCCTGCCTCCTGAGAGCTCTTGTCTGGGGCCGGTGGGAGGTCATGGGGACCTTGGGCTGAGCCTATACCCATGTGCCTGCCCAGCCCTCCCCCCCCACCAGCCCAGCCTGGGGACTCCAAGTGTCCAGGGAGAGGGCTGTGACATCTGAATCTGGGGCCTGGCTTAAGGGAGGGCCCCTCTAAGTCATCCCCAGAGACTATTCCAAGGGCTGCCCTCACTGCTAGGAGCTGTTCTTGTCCCTTTGGGGCTGAGCAGAGAACCCTGCAAAGGCTCCCCCAGCCTCCCCTCCTCTGGCTGCTGTCCAGCTTAGCCAGAATTAGGCTGGTAGATAGCCTGACCAGGCCATCCACAGCTATTACTTTACAGGGGTGCCATTTTCTTTGTCCCCAGGACTTAGCCGGGGGCCTAGTGAGTGTTTAATAAATGTTTGTTGACTGACTCAAAGGAATCTCCAGTTCAGCAAACTCTGCTAAGCACCTACTGTGTACTAAGTGCCATACTAGACTCTGGAGATGCAGCTACAACAGCAAGACCTTCCCTGCCCTCGAGTAACTTATGTTCTCTGGGACACAGAATGTCTGGCGGGTGGGGAGTGGCCTGTATTTGGACAGAGACCGGTATACGAAGCTGATGGTGCTGTATCAGTCCCCACCTAGACTGCCCGTTTCCACCTTTGACATTAATACTAATGATAAAGAGGCAAATACAGCTTACAAGTACAATCTCATCTGTCCCTCACAACATCCCTGGGAGGCAAGTGCTATTAGGTTACCCATTTACAGATGGGGAAGCCGAGGCAAGCAGGAGCAGTGACTTGCCCAGGGTCACCCAGCTAGTAGATGTCTGAGGTCATATCTGAACTCGGTCTTCCTGATTTCGGGTCAGATGCTTGCTCCACAGAGCCATCGGCTATCTCAAAAACAAAACTGCCCTGAAAACTGCCCCCCTTCTATGCAGCCTATGTGTGTCCTGGCTCTGCCTCTAAGAGTCTGTGTGACCTTGGACAAGTCCTTTCCCCTCCCCTGGGACTCCTCGAGGGTTCCAGGGCCCCTCTTCATACTCAAGGGGGTTTACTGGCAGGAGGAGGAGGGCCAGAGTGGAAAGGGTGGCCCTGAGCCCTCGAACCTGACCTCTGGACCACCCCCACAGCCCAGCAGTCACAGCCCCTGGGTCTAGAATACTTTCCAACTGGCCAAGCGCTCGACAGAAATGACCTCATTGGATCCTCACAACGACCTGGGAGGCGGGGGCTTTTAGGATCCCCATTGTACAGATGGGGACACTGAGGCTGAGCACGGTTCCATGCCATAGCTGGGAGGGCTGCTGATGGTGGTCATTGCTGGAGAGAAGAGGAACTGGACCCTTTGAGGGCTCCCAATGTTCATTAACTCCTTCTGGACACAGAAATGTGCTTTTTTTTAAAAAAAAAAAAAAAGCTGGGAGTGGGAGGGAATGACCAAGACAACCCCGGTTTTTTTTTCCTGTCTAAACTCATTCCATGCTGATGCCCCTCGTGCTAGGAGGGCAACCTGACATCTGGATCACCCTCTCTCAGCCTTAGTTTCCTCCTCTGTGAAATGAGGTCGGACTCTGATCCAGGCACGAAAGGCGAAGGAGAGGGGGGAGGGCGGCGATGGGGGCTCCCCGGAACAGGGCATGGAGAGGCTGGGGGCGGGGGGTGGGGAACGGCTCTCGGCGAGTCCAAGGTCTTTCTTCCAGGCCCAGATGAAGGAGCTGTGGCGGGAAGTGGAGGAGTCTCGAACTTCCCGGGAGGAGATCTTTACCCAGAACCGGGAGAATGAGAAGAGGCTCAAGAGCCTTGAGGAGGAGCTGCTGAAGCTGCAGGAGGTGAGGAGGCTGCTCGGAGCCCTTATCAGGGAAAGCCCGGGATTCGGGGAAAAGGAGCAGAGGAGTGCCTGCCTGAAGAAGCTGGCCTTCCCCTGTGGGGAGGGGCATGATACCATGAGCTTATCTAGGGAGTGCCTTCTGGCTGGAAGGTACAGCGCGCCCAAATGCAGCCTGGCTGGAGATAAAGTATCGAGTTTGAGGGAAAGCTCCTGGAGTTCCAGTGCCTGATTAGGAGGCTTCAGGGCTGCAACCTAGAGCCAGCCCTGCCTCCTGGGGAGGAGGATCAGCTGCATGGCCCTGGTCCAAGTGGGAGGGGAGGGGAAAGGGTCTGTACCCGGGAGGTGGCCGGCCCTGTGAGTAGGAGGCGAACGACGAGAGAGCATCGTTCTCAAAACTGAGCCGGCAGGATCGAGGTGAAGACGGGGATGGGTGGCGTCAGGAGATGAGGCCCAAGAAAAGGGGTTCGGGTTTAGCACTGGAGGGATGCTGGACCGGGGGAAGACCCTGCAGGGGAGGCCGGGGCGCATACGGCCCGGAAGGAGGGAGATGAGGCTAGGCCAACGAGACTTCCCACTGCCCGCAGGGGCAGAAGCCTCGAGGGAAACGAATTCTCTGACAGCCCCAGTGAAGTCCGGGCTGTTCGGAGGGAGGAGCAGGTCTCAGCATGGGGCCGACCTCCGGGCACCACAGCCCCGGGTAATGCCCGTGAAGAAGGGCCGGCTGACCTGCGCGTGTCCCTTCTCCACTTGCCCGCAGGAGCTCGCGGCCTCGGACCGGGCCCGGCGCCAAGCGCAGCAGGATCGGGACGACATGGCAGACGAGGCAGCCAACGGGAACCTGGCCAAGTGCGTCTACCCCGCCCCCGCCCCCAGTCCTTTCCCGGTGTCGTGCCCCACCCCTGGCTTGCGCCGGGCTGCTTAGGTATTAACGCCCCTCCCTGCCCTCCAGGGCGGCCCTAGCAGAGGAGAAGCGGCAGCTCGAGGGGCGACTGGGCCAACTGGAAGAGGAGCTGGAGGAAGAGCATGGGAACCTGGAGCTGCTCAATGACCGTTACCGCAAGCTGCTGCTGCAGGTGGGCCCGGGGGCGAGCAAGGGCAACCCAGGCCTCCTGGGCGAGCTGATCCACCCCTCTGGGGCCTCTGGCCGGGTAGCCCGTTCTCCTGCATGGGACCTCCTCTTCCTGCCCCACACGCCCTGCTCTGGAGGGGGAGGAAGGGGCCCGCCCACCTAGGGGGAGGAAGGGGAGCGCCTACATAGGGATAGGAAGGGGAGCGCCCACCTAAGGGGAGAAAGGAGCCTCGCCCACTCAGGGGAGGAAGGAACTAGCCCCGCCCACCTAGGTGCAGAAAAACATCTTCCTCTTCACTAAAGGATCATAGATGGAGAGTTCGAAGGGAATTTGGAGGCCATGGAGTCCAACTCCTTCATTTTTGTAAAGAGAGAAACTGAGGCCTAGACTTAGCCGGAACTCCCTCCCAGCCCAGGAGCCTGCTGGGGGTGGGGGATAAGGGGGCCAGGCTTGGGGTTTCACTGGGATAGGGAACCGCCAGGTGAGGAGCTATCTACCAAAGACAGCACAGGCTGACACCCTCTCTGCAAGTACTGGTAAACAGAGGCGGGTGGTGTCCTGACAGGTTAAGGTCTTCCTGGTGGCTCTGGGCCGGTGCTAGGCCAAAAGCCAAGGGAGCTGGGGGGAGGTGGATAGAATCATAGGCCAGCCCAGACACAACGTGAAACAGCTCCCCGGCTCCGAGAGCTGGGAGTACCTGAGAGGTAGGTCACCTCCCCACCCCCATCCCGGAGACCCTCCTCCGGACCACTCCTCAGTGACCTTCCTAATGGAAGTCCTTGCAAAGTCCTGTCCCAAGGCTGGATGCAGTCACGGCGACATGGCCTGGCCGGGCACAGGGCAGGGACACTGGTCCTCTCCCTCTCTCAGAACCCCGGGATGTAGCTGAGGCTGCTAGGGGCTCCCCAACCCTTGAGCTTCAAGCAGAGATGGGCCAGAGGGTGATACAATCACCTTCGAGCCTTGGGAAAGGGGCAGGAGCTTCCTGACAGTTCTGAAGTTCTGGCATTCTTGGCCTGGGTCTCCCTGGCCTCCAGCTCCCCCAGTTCCATAACCCCACCGAGCCCTGCTCAGGGTACCTGCCTTCTCCTAGCTCCATGCCCCCACCTTCCCCTATGCTCCTGCCCCCACCTACCCCCATGCTCCTGCCCCCTTTCTCCCTGCCCCACCTCCTGTTCAGAGTACCTGCCTCCCCCCCAGCTCCATGCCCCCGCCTGCCCCCAGCTCCATGCCCCCACCTCCCCCCATGCTCCTGCCCCCACCTCCTCCCAGCTCCATGACCCCACTTCCCCCCAGCTCCATGCCCCCATCTCCCCCCATGCTCCTGCCCCCTTCCCCCCAAGACCCCGCCTCCCTTGCCATTACCACCACCCTCCCCCTTCCTCTGGCCAGGTGGAGTCTCTGACCACGGAGCTATCGGCTGAGCGGAGTTTCTCCGCCAAGGCAGAAAGTGGACGGCAGCAGCTGGAGCGTCAGATCCAGGAACTGCGAGGCCGCCTGGGCGAGGAGGATGCTGGGGTCAGAGCCCGCCACAAGATGCTCATCGCATCTCTAGAGTCCAAGCTGGCCCAGGCTGAGGAGCAGCTGGAGCAGGAGAGCAGGTGAGGCCGGAGAGAGGATTTCGCTTTGCTGCCTCAGCTAGAGAATGGGCTGACATTTCTAGGCATCGGTCTAGCCTGGACAGCCTTGTCACTCAGTTAAGGGCAGCTCTAGAGTCTGAGAAGATGGGTGGGCGAGGGAGAGAAGAATGAAAGAGGCGATGATGGATGAAAAACTGCACTGGGGAGTGGGAATATGGGCAGGAACTTGGGGGAAAGGGTGTCAAGAAACGGGGGCAACAATTGCCTCCGAGGGCCTGGGGAACCCCAGTCAGGGAACCATCGGAGTGGTGACTCCCCGTCTTCCTGCCCCAGGGAGCGCATTCTGTCGGGGAAGCTTGTCCGGAGAGCTGAGAAGCGCCTGAAGGAGGTGGTCCTGCAGGTGGATGAGGAGAGGAGGGTGGCTGACCAGCTCCGGGACCAGGTGAGGGGCTCATCGGCCAGCCTGCACAGGGGCCTTGGGCCGCTGGCCATTCTGGGCCTCAGCTTCCCCTCCTGTGAAATCAGGTGCTAGGGCTGGCTACTGTCAGGCACCTCAGCGCCTTCTCCCTCTGCCATCCTCAGAAGCTAAGAGGCCCAAGGGGAGAGCAGGGGACCGTGAGGGTGGGCAGCTGGGCCTGGAACGGGGAGAGGAGAATTGGTCTTCACAGGCTAATGAGGCAACTCTGAGATGGGGAGAGGATGTAGTGTGGACAGACAAATAGAGGCAGGGAGACCCTGGTGGAGATGGAGAGAGAAGGGGGAGAGATCTCCTAGAGGGCGCAAGGAGACAGAGAATGGGGTAGACAGAACCGGAACCCCAGAGAGAGAGGCGATGGTGGAGATGGAGAGAAGGGGACGACTGAGCCGGCCGGCCTGCCTGCCTGCCTTCTCCCCACCTCGGCAGCTGGAGAAGGGCAACCTGCGGCTGAAACAGCTGAAGCGGCAGCTGGAGGAGGCCGAGGAAGAGGCCTCCAGAGCCCAAGCTGGCCGTCGGCGGCTGCAGCGGGAGTTGGATGACGTCACTGAGTCGGCAGAGTCCATGAACCGGGAGGTCACCACGCTGAGGAACCGGCTTCGGTGAGGCCCCACGGGAGTCCTCGGACCCCCCTGGGCAGAGCTGGGGGGAGGAGGGAGGGGAGGGGGCCCAAGCTCCACCCTTTGTCTCCATCTCTCCGTGCAGGCGAGGGCCCCTCACCTTCACCACAAGGACAGTGCGTCAGGTCTTCCGCCTGGAGGAAGGGGTCGCCTCCGATGAGGAAGGAGAAGAAGCAGAAGGAGGCACTGGTCCCCCTGCTCCAGAACCTGATGTCCCCCCCCAGTCCCAGCCACAGTGACCCTCTTGTTGATTCTCTGCTCCAAATCCCCTTCCCCTCCTGCCTTCTTGCACTTTGGAGACCCCAGTGCCCAAACCAGGCACTTTAAGTCATCAAAGCTCCCAGCCCCAAATCAAGCAGTGGGCCTGGCACTTAGCTGGGGGCAGGCTTGGGGAGGGGTTCATGCCTGCTTTCCTCCCAGCCCCCAAGTCTTTGTACAACAAAAAGGGGAAGGCCCCGGCTTTCCCCTTCCCGTTTTGACTTTCTCCTTTTTACTCATTCCTCTCCTTCCCATCATACCCAATTTCTGTCCTCTTTCTTCCCAGCCTCCCTCTTCTTTGGAACAGCTTCTTCCCACCCCAAGCCCCTCTTTTCCTCATCTCCCTCTCCTCTTTCTCAGCACCATCTCCCTGTCTCCTTGCCTTCTATTTCCCCACCTCTCCTCATCTTTGCCTCCATCCTCTCATCTCCTTCTTCCCCCTCATCTTGTCTCCCTTTTCCCCTCCTCAGCATTGTCATCTTCCTCTCTTCCATCCTCAGCCCTGTATTCTCCCCTCATCTCCTCCTTTTAGGTTATTTCATCCCCTCTCTTCATCTTATCCCCCCTTCCCTCCTCATGCTTTTGTATCCCTTTGTATCTTCAGCACTTAGCACAATGCCTGGTACATAGTAGGTGCTTAATACATGTTTACTGATTGATCGATCCTTCTCATCTCACTCTCTTCCATCCTCATCTCATGCTCATCATCTCATCTCACCTCTTTTCTCCCTCCTTATCCTTCTCATCTCCCTTTCTCCTATCTCCCTTTTCTTGTCTCCTCTCCCCTCCTTTCCTCATTGCCTATTTCCCTCTCCTCATTTCTCTCCGCCATGTCTTTCATTCCCCTCTTTTCTGTCATCTGCCCTCTACCCATCCAGTCTCATTCCTTCTTTACCTCCCTTCCTCTGTTCTCCACTCTCTTCCTCTCACCTCTTTCTCGCTCCATTTCTCTCCATCTCCTTTTCCCTCCATCAGCCTCTCCTTCCCACTTCCCCACCTGATGCTCTGGTGGCTTCTGTGTGGTTTAGGTTGGCGTTTCAGGGTCAGGTATAACAGTAGCATGTGTCCTGTTCCCCTCAGCCCCTGCCCTTCCCGCTCCAGTGGAAATAAACTTCAAAGCCTTACTCGGTCCCCGAGTCCTGCCTTATTAGGTGTCCAGGGAGTGCAAACAGCTTCAAATTCTGGAGCCTCCAGCCCACTAAGCCAAGCAGCCCTACAGCATCTTGGCCTCCAAGAGTGAGGGTCAGGCCGTGGGGAATCCACTAGGACTGGGAAGTGGTGATGGAGCCCAGTCCAGGTTCATGAAGTCAGAGATAGGACCTCAGAGGCCCCCTGCAGACCATTTCCAAGCCCTATGGAGTGGGCTTGGTTTTCGTGCTGTGGCCCTGGGCACCACCTGCCCTAATGGGGGGGGGGGGAGATGGACCTTGCTCGGCAGCTGGCCAGACCCTGCTGAGGCCCAGGGAGTCACCATGAGTCTGGTGAGATTCAAGCCCAGATCCTCTGCCATCAGAACCATGGTTTGTGTCCAGAGTTGACACATGTAACCATGGAGAACGAGATATGGGAGGGTCATAGTCTTCCCATCTACCCTTGCAGTATGTCAGGTGCCCCAGGTGTGTCCAGAAGCCTGGCGTCAGAGGTTAGGGACTAGGTGAAGGGGGAAGGAGCCCTGTGTCAACCAGTGGCTCTGAAGAACATCCTCCAAACCTGGGGAAATTGTAAGAGGTACAACCAGTGCGGGCTTTGAAGTCATCACAGTGGTGCCAGCCATTTACCACTTGGAGCTTGTGTCTGCCTCTAGAAAATGGAGAGGTGGGGAGGGGGCCAACGTCCTGCGGATGTGTGTGACTGAGGTTCAGAGTGCCTGCCTCACCCCAGAGCCCCAGCTGATGAGGCAGTGTCCTGCTCTAGCACGGGCTCTTACTTCCCTGGTCGCGACGTGTACCCCGGCAGATCAGTCCCTTGTCAGCCAACAGAACCCAGATGTCAAGATGTGGGGTAGAGGAAGAGCTGGGAAAGCGCGTGTGCATTGTCAGATCCCTGACGTCATCATCAGACCATCATCAGCTGGATGTGAGACAGGGCCATGGCCTGCCGCCCGATGCCCTGTGAGTGGGGGCCAGTGCCCGATCCAGCAAGAACCCAGACATCCCACTACTCCTCCCCCCTACCCCCGCCAAATAAAGAACATCCTCCCTCCCAGTAAGGGGAGTAAGGGCCACGTAAATGAAAAGGGATTTTTTTTATTTGTTTGGGGGAGGGGAAAGGGGGTGACATGCGGCGTCTGCAGCGGGCGGCTCTGCTGGTTCGCGGGTCATGCACCCCTGGGCGGGGAGTGGGGGAGGGCAGGGCTCCCCCCTTCCCCTGTCCTGGGGGTGGGGGGGGAGATACCCCCCATTAGCACCAGAGTTGGAAGTTTGCAGACCTTCCCCCCCAGCCGATTCAGATCCGCCTCCATCCCTGAGAGCCCCCAACCCACCCCCGCACACACCCTCCCCCCACTTTCTGTGGGACTCCCTGGGAACGGGTGGGGGGGATCTTTATTGCTATGTGTGTGGGGTGGAGTGGGGGCACAGGACCCCCTCCCCATGACCTGCCCCCACTCCCCCAATCCCCAGGAGCTCTCAGATGGGGGCCAGTGGTACCAGGACCCACCCCTACTCTTTCCTCCCCTAGCAAAAAAGGGGGGCACGAGATTCCCCTCCTAACCGTACCCCCCGTCCCTTGTCATGCGTGGGGAGGGGGAGGCATCCGCAGACATGCAGATCATGCGTGTAGTTGCGTGTGCGTGGCGGCCAGAGGGAGACCAGGGGGCATTTAGGGGGAGGGAAGTCCTCCCTCCCCAAATCCCACACTCCCCAAATAAAGTTGTATCGAAGTTTATTTTTGTAAAAAGCTAACTGAAAGCTTTGTTGGAGGTGGGGACCAGGGGGAGGATCCTTTGAGGGGGGGCCTCCAAACTCGCCAAGTCTCAAAACCTGGGAGAGGGAGGGTGTGTATGTGTACGTATGTGTGTGTGGATGGGTGGGGGGAGGAGGGATGGTGGTGGAGAATGTTTAAGCCTTTGGCACAATTGTCCCTACTTCTCTTCGTTCCCCACCTGGGACCCAGGCATCCCCTCCTCCCACCCACTTCCAGCCCCATCTAGGTTCCCAGCCAGGGATTTGGCATCCATGGTAACATTAATCATCAGAGAACTCTGGCTTCTTGCCCCCAACCCTGATCTTCCAGGCTTGGTAGCAAGGGAAAAGGATAGAAGAGTAGAGGAGGGCGGGGATGTCTAAGGAGCCCCTTGCATAGGAAACTTTGCATAAGGAGAAACTCCCTGCCCCTCCCCCAGAGGAGAGAGGGGGATTTGGGGCAAATTCTGCGGGTCTAGGAGTTATAGAAGAGGGGTACAGGCCAATCCTTGGTTTGGGGAAGGTGCTTGGGTCCATGCAGGGCATGGGGGGTAGGGAGAGCAATTGGCTTACCAACTTAGTGACCTCCCCCTCAGCTGTGGGGGGAATTGCACTTTCTCCTGGGACGCTAGGGATGTGACACTATACATTCCATATCCCTTTTGGGGGGGGGTGATATGTGATGGCTGCATTTTGGTAGTGCTGAAGATGAGTTGGAAGCCTAGTGAGGGAAGGTCTGGGACCGTTCATGAGCACAGTTAACACAAGGCCATGACCAGACAATGCAATGCTAGGCTGGGGGTGGGGCGCAGATGTCCTTGGAGAACTCAGGGGAGATAAATTGTCAAAAAGTAGATCAGAGAACCCAGAAGAGGGCTTCTGGCAAGACCTGGAAGCCCCAATGTGCAAAATAGTGTTTGAGCGCAGCTACCTCTGAGATACTGTGGCCAGGCTGGCTGGGGGGGTGGGGTGGGCACACAGAGGACTGGGAGTCACGAGATGAGGGAGGGAGAAACTCTGCCTCCAAATCTAGCCACCGGCCACACCCAAACTCCTGGAGGATGGAAATAGAGGGAGGGCTCTAGGTAAAGACCCCCAGGCACCCAACGGGTGTGTGGATGTGAGAGAGACCACGGGCTAGGAGGAGGAGTACACCACACACTGCAATCTGCTTGTGAGAACGGAAGGTGATGCTGATGCTGAGCGTCTGGGGGTCCCTGACGAAGCAGCATCAGGAGCCTGGCCTCGAGCAGGGTTTTGGGGACATCCCAGTGATTTCCCTTGTGTCCCACGAGTCCCATCCCCCGGACCCCGCTGGGATGTGGGGGTTTCAGGGGGTGAGAAGACACGGAACAGAGGAGGATCTCTTGGGAGCTCATGCACATGCAGACCCAGTCCCCACGATCTGCTCCAGGTGAGGGGAATAGATAAGAAAGACGAGGGGGCCCAGGGGGCTGCAGTCCTCAGGGAGGACATTCCCCAAGCTTGGGCATGAGAGTACATGGTGGGGGGGAGTTGCCCTGGTCTGTGAATTCAGCCTGGCAACTCCAGAATTAGAATGTGTGTGTGTGTGGCGGGGGGAGGCAGCGATTGAGAACAGCAAGACGCTGGCGGGGAGGGCAGGTCCATCCCTTTCCAGAGGGAGGTGGGTCAGGGAGATGGAGTGATCCAATCCTGGAAAGTCTCATGCCCACTATCACCATCCATGTACACATGCATGCACTCTCACACAAATACGCGTACACACACATACATGCACACACATATACGCACGCGCGCACGCGCGCGCACACACACACACACACACATACACACAAACACGTCTACATAGCACTACCCCACTACATCTCCGTGCATGGCTCATCACCTTTGTGGGCCAGTGGCACAGACATGCGCCACATTTCACCCCAACACTCACTACTATGACCTTTAAAAGATGACAACCCGTTACTTCCCCAGATCCACTTCCAGTCCCTCTCTGGGCCTTGGCACCTCCACCCCACCTCGTTTCTTTTTGTCTTTGATTTGCAATCAAATCCTCAGCTCCTTCTACTGCAGACTGGGGCCAAGGTGACCAAGGAAGGCCCAGGGGATGGATGGACTCCCCCCAACTCCCTATTGCCCGGGTGGTCTAGGGTGGGACACAGCATGCGGCCAGAGGCAGCTTATTGCTCTTGCAGGGAATTGGGGCTCTAGGGGGGACATGCACAAAGATGGAAGAGGACAGAGGCTGCCTCAGAAACCGTGGGGCAGCCGAAAGGGTGTCCCAAAGTTAACCGGCACAGTTCTCACTTATTTACACATTTCAATGAGCGTGTGGATTTGGGAGGGGGCAATATGGCTCATGGAGACCTGAGAAGGCTTTTGGGGGGTACTGAGGCTCTGCCCCTCCTTCTTGGGGGCCTAGAGGAAGTGGGGAGGGGGTCTGGGGGTTTGCTGGCGGTCATATCAATTGCATATTATTTGTGACCCTTTAAAAAATACCGCCCCCACCCCTACACCTGGAACCATCCCCCACCACCCCTGAGTCCCCCCGAAGAGGGGGATGGGGGCTAGAGAATGGAGGGCAGGGCAGGAGGGGCACGGCGGGCAGCCCTTGGGGAGCCAGGGGGAGTGGCAAGGGGGGCAAGACGCAAGGACACCCCACTGAGCCCCGCGATGCTGCTCAGGCTGCGGGACTTCTCATAACCTGGGGGAGGGAACGGGAGGGGTCAGAGACAAAGAGAGAGGGGGACGCAGGAAGGGACAAAGACCAAGAAATGGACAGGGGCCCAGAGATATCAGGACCAAGAGACAAACCCAAAGAAAGAGATGAAACAGAGACAGACAGAGAGAGAGGTGGATGGGAACAGATGGAGAGACACACACAGAGACCAAGAGAGAGACACAGAAACAGAGATAGACAGGCATTCAGACCCAAATAAAGAGAGACGGACATGGATGCAGAGATGGAGGCCGAGAGATAGGGACAGAGAGATACACAGAGTCCCAAGTGATGGGAAGCAGGACAAAAACAAAGGAGAGAGGAGAAAGATAGAGACGGAAAGAGACAGAGGCAAGGAGGGGAAGAGAGAGAGAGAGAGAGAGAGAGAGAGAGAGAGAGAGAGAGAGAGAGAGAGAGAGAGAAACAGTCAATGCCAGAAAGGGGGGACAGAGACATTGGGGTGGGGGGAAGAGATGCAGGGTTAGGAGGCAGACCGGAGCTTGTGGCCCTCCCCACTCCCCTCCAACCCTGCCTATTCCCTACCCCAGGTTCCATTGCCTAAGATGGGGGGAGGGGGCAGAAGGCGAATGATGAGGTGATATGGGCATGAAGCTGCAGGTGTGGGCGAGTGGGACAGGGCACTGGTCAGTCTCTCCTCCCCTTGGGTTGGGACACATGCTGGAGAACTGGAGATGGCGAGGGCATGGAGGCAGGAGGCCGTGGGAAGGGATGGCTGAAGCATCCCATTGGGAAGGCCAGTTAAGCTGTCAAAGGGAGGGGTGGAGTTCGGGCCAAAGATCAAGGAAGGGCGCTCAGGGTCCCGGGCACAGCCATGGGTGAAGGTTGTGGCAGGGAAATGGATGGAAAGGGGATGGAGTCCTCCAGTGGGCCAACGTTGGCAAGCTCCCGGGGCCCACGATAATACCAAGTGTCTCAGGCAGCATCAACAAGGCTTTGAGAGCTCCTTGGCGCCCTAAGTCGGGGCAGCAGGGGACCCACTTCCTGCCGGGCTCAGACGTGTGGGGGACCTGTCCCTCCTTTACTGCCTGAAGTCCTTCCAGCTCTAAAGCTGCAACCAAGGACCTGGAGAGGCACTCCTAAGGATGTGACTTGGAGAGTCTGAGAGATTTCGGAGGTTCGGAGGGCATTTGTGGAGGGTATCTTGAGGGTTCTAAGACTGTCTTATGGCCTCTAAAGGGTGTATCCTGAGAGTGCTGAGGGGGTACCTGGAATTTTCTTAGCAGTAGGAGGGCTATCTAGAAGGCTCTAAGAGCATGTTACAGTGGGGGGCCCCCTCCCAGCCAATCCCAGCTGCTGACCTGGGGGAGAGGGGCAGGGGGGGGCCCACGGATCTCGAGAGGTCTCAGGCGGTGACAAGAGCTGGGGACAGAAACACAGAGTCACAGGGGGTGGAGGGGGGCCCCCCAACACTGCCTTGCTGTTGGGGGTGGGGGAGAAACCCCTGGGGCTCCGTCCTCCTCCTCTGTGGTGGTTTCCGGGAGTAGAGGAAGAGCAGCAAAATGGGGGTGGCCAGAGACACCAAATATAGGAGGAGCATCTGGGGCGACTGGGGGAGGTAGTGGGGTGGGGGAGGGGGGAGGGAGATCGACATGGGCTGGGATTGGGAAGCTGGGGCAGGAAGGAACTAGGCAGAGGATCCAGCTGGCCCCATCTGCTCCGCCGATATTTGTGCTCAGTGAATGGATCTCGGCATCAAAGGGAAGGGAAAGTGAGCCACTGAAGACCTCCCCCCACCCAAGCCACACCCAGATCCCACCCCAAATCTCCACATCCCACCCCACTCCCTGGAGGGTGAGCCAGAGGCCACACAACAGAAAGAGAGAGCAAGCAGGGAAGAAGGGAAAAGACAGGGAGGGAGACGGGGAGGGCTGTGGAGGGCATGGATGGAGATGAAGATGAAGAGGAGGTCGGGGATGATGGCAGAGGAGGCTGAGAACTTGGTGGGGGGATTACTACGTGAAGGGAAGGAAAGAGAAAGGGGCACTTGGGGGGAGTGGTTAGCAGGACAGGCTGGACGACAGTGAGGTCGTTGGGGTGAGGCTTGTTAGTTCTGGGCTCTGTGAGTCTAGGGGATGAGTTGTGTGGCTGGGCCTGCGTGCTCAGTGAAAGCCCAGGGCATGAGTTAGGTGGTAGGAGCAGGTGATGACCAAAGGCCTGGCAGCTGCTCAGTCAGGAGACGGTGGGTGTTAGTCAGGGAAAAGCTGGTCCCAGGGGTGAGAGGAGCCTGGACAGCCAGCCAGGGATCACTTACCAGGGGGGCTGGGGGAGCGTCCAGCTAGGGGGGGATCCAGGCTGCAGCGTTGGCGTTGAGGTCGGCTAGAAAGCCAGGTGGGCCAGGCTTCCGCCAGTCCGGGGGGGGCGGCGGGGGGGCACTGGTGGCTGAGTTTTTTGGGGGAGGTAGCAGAAAGGGACCAGGGAATCAAGGGGGAGGGGATGGAGATGGAACAAAACAACAGATGAGGGGGGCAGTGGTGAAGTGGCCTGGGAGGGGAAGAGGGGGGCAAGGATAAGAGGAAGGTGGCAGCAGGAGTGGGGCCCCACTGGGGTGGGCAGGGGGAGGATGGCAGCTTGGACACCCCTGCAGTAAAGTCTTTCCCTTGTCCAAATCTCTACCTCCTCCCCTGTGTCCCTCTCTTCTTCTCCCACAGGGACCTTGGGCTAGGGGGCACCTCGGGATGGGGAGGGGTCCTAGGCAGGGGGAGGAGGTCTCACCTTTTCGGATGGAGCCATCTGGGGAAGCTGTGTAATCAGCCAGCAAGAAGCATGCCCGGTCTCGTCCATAGCGGCCACGGCTCCCAGGGGTGATGGGACTCTTGTCTTCCGGGGACAGGGCTGCCTGGTCAATTGCAGGGCAGTCCTCATGAGCTAGGGCAGCAGCTGCCGGGTCCCCATTAGGGCGAGGGTCTAGTTCCCCAGAGGAAAGGTGGGGAGGGTGGACAGAACAGACAGAGATGAAGAGAATAGAGAGAGACAGAATTAATGGAATCCTTGAGGAGCAGAGCAGCAAGGGCCTTCAGAGGTTACCTGTCTGAGCCCTGTGTTCTACATCAGAAGAAACTTGGGTCCAGAGAGAGGAAGGCGCAGATGGGGATAATGGCAAGAGCCCTGGAGCCAAAGGGCCTAGGTTCTGCCACTTCCCCCTCTGTGACCTGGGGCCAGCGACTGCAGAGGGAGGGGGAGGGGGAGGGGAGAGAAGAGAGGAGAGGAGAAAAGAGAAGAGGAAGGGAAGCTGCAGTCAGAATCATGGGCCAGGCTAGAGGGAAAGAGACAGAGACAGAGGTAGAAATGCCAGGACTTTGAGGAAAGAGATGGATCTGGAAGCAAGGAGAAAGGGAAGGGGGAAGAAGGCAGCATAGGGAAAGGAAGGTCTGAAGGAGTCTGGGGTGTGAGAATTAAGAGGGGGAGTGAAGTGTGAGACAATAGGGTGTAAGAGGGTGGGAAGGTGGAAGGAAGTCTAAGGAATTGGGGATTGTAATGGGGGAATGAGACATGAAGGAACATGGGGGACAGTGAATGAAGAGGCATGGGGAGTGAGGGGGGCAGGGTGTGGCAAGACAAGACAGGTACAAAGCATAGTTAGGCAGCAAAGGCATCCCCAGGGTCACCACCGGGATGGTGAAGAGCCTCCAGCTTGCAACATAAAGAGATCCTATTGTAGGAACTGAGGAAGTCTAGCCTGGTGAAGAGAGGGCTGAGGGAATTTAGATTTAGAATTCATATTCTTATCTTCAAGAACCTAAGGGAATGTCACATGGAGGAGGGTTTAGGACCATGGGATCCTAGATCTGGAGGAGGCAGGGACATTAGGGGGTCCATCTCCATTTTACAGATGAGGAAACTGAGGCCCACAGTGAAAGGCTTTGTCCAGGTCCCACCACAAGTCAACAGCCCAGGTGGGATTGGTTAGACTCCTTCTTTGACCAGTGATGGCAGAAGTAGAAATTTAGAAGGGGGGAAAAGCCCCAGCTCTGGAGCAGAAGGACCCCAGTTCAAATTTCACCACAGAGCTGATATACTTCCTATGTCACTCTCTGGGACTTTTCCCCCGACCTACAAAATGAAGAGGTGGGCTGAAAGTCACTGAGGTCCCTTCTAACTCTCAAATTCTGGCATTTGGTGCCATGAAAGCTTTTCTCTTGGCATCACAAGGGCCATACCGTGGAAGAGGGGTTGCATTTGGCAGAACCAGGAACAGGGGAGGCAGGCGCAGAGAAGCCCATTTAATCTGGAGATGGAGGGGGGAGCTGTCCAAAAGTAGCCTGGGCTACTTTAAGAGGTGTGGTGATTTTGTGAGGGTGTGAATAGGGATTGGATGTGAGGGTGCTAAGAGGTGGGATGGAGTAAAGGAGGAGCTGGCAGAATCACGGGTCAGGCCAGAAGAACCTTATTTCCTGCTTTGACAAGTTACAAGACTGGTGGATCAGGTGGATGCAGGAGGTGCCGTTTACCTAGATTTGGGCAAAACACTTGACAAAGTCTTAATGCTACAGTGGAAAAGAGAATCGAGAGCTAAACATAGATGTGGGACTGGTTAGCTGGCCAGACCTGAAGAGCAGTCAGTCATTAATGGTTCAATGTCACCTCGGCAGGCAGTCTGGAGTGGAGTGCCCCAGGGATCTGTGCTGCTTAACATTTTTATCAGTGACTGAGATAAAGGCTGGCCTGGCAAGCTCACTGAATTTGCAGGTGAAACTGACAGGAACCAAGACTCAAAAAGGCTAACGTGGCAGTTCTCAAGAATTTGAGAGGTCCAAGCTATTTTCACAATAGCACCAAGACTTTTAAATGTCTACTATATTGGTAAATATAAATATAATTTACAAAAACAAAAAGGTCCTGGACAGCAGGGTAGCATCTTCAAAAATTTTTAAGAGTGTAAAGTTTGAATTTGTTTGAAAATGACTAGGCTAAAGCATTGGGCTGAGATAAAAACTCAATAGGGAGAAATGGAAACTATTAACATGAATTCAAAAGGTCAATCCCACAAGTTAAAAGTGGGGAGTTATGGCTGGAGGGCAGCTCATGCGAATAAAAAAATGAGGGGGAGTTCTAGTTCAACTAGGGGGCACCAGAGTGCACAGAGGCCTGGGCCTGGAGTCAGAAAGACCTGAGTTCAAATTCAGCCTCAGATACTTCTTAGCTGCATGACCCTGGACAAGTCCCTTCACCTCTGCTCAGTTTCATCATCTGTAAAATGGGGATCATAATAGCACTTCCTTCCTAGAGTGAAGGACAAATTTGCTTCTGGTGGACTGAAAGGGCAATATAAGTCAATGAGGTAGTATGACCATCCAAAGTGTGAATGGTTCTTGGGCATAGGAGCTGGGCACCAAATGCCAGTGTGACTATTCTCTGCCCTTATGATCAGCTTGGGTTGCCACCTTTGAAGAAGGACTTGGATAAACTGGAAAATGTGCAGAAAGCCACAGGAATGGGAAGGAGGTCTGTAGTCTATGCCATCCCTAAGAGAACCAATGGAAGGAACCAGGACTGTTTAGCTTGGAAAAGAGAAGGCTGGGAGATGGGGCAATAGAGAGGGGAGACGTACATGCCAGCTGCCTCCAAGTATTTGAAGGCCTGTCTTGTGGGAGATGGAGTTGACTTGGGCTGTGTGGCCCCAAAGAACAGACAGGAGTAAGTGGGGGGCAAATTGGCAAAAAAGGCAATTAAGTCCTTAGGGAAGGATGATGTCCTAAGCAGCCCTTGAACCTGCCATGAAACGGACTGGGCTGACAGAACATTGTCTCCCCACTCACTGGTGGTCCTCAAGGCAAGGGTAGGTGAGCCCCTCCTGGCCATGCTATCACAGGGATTTGGGTTCAGGTACACATAGGGCCAGATGGCCTTGAAGGTGCCTTCCAACAAGAACATTTGGCAGGTCTCTAGGTATGAGGGAGTGCAGATGGGAGTGGGGGAGTGATGGGGGCAGGGGAGGTGATGTGAGGAGGACATAGCTCACAAAGTGTTCAGGCATAATGGCAAATGGGAGAGGGCATCATGAAGACCGGAAGGGCAATGAAGGTATATAGACCTGAAGAAAGAGGTAAGGGTTTGGGGGAGGACATGGGATGCATGAGTGGAAGGAGGGGGAGGGGGAATGGGAAGGGGGACTCGAGTTATTTTTAATTGGTTTGAATGTGGGTCAGCTGCTAAGGGAGCAGGGACTAGGCTGCTCAGTCTTTTTTCTCCCCCCACCCCCAACCACCACGACTGACCTACTTTAAGCAAAGGAGGAGAAGTGATGGAGGCCCCCCTCATTTTCACTGCTCTGATTAGCTGCTCACTCAGCCTCCTTCCCTCTCCCGTCCAGCCTCCACAGAGGCCAAGACCTCTGAGAGACCCCTTCCAGTGTCTGTCCGTCTCCTTCTCCGTAGCTGCCCATCTCCTCTCTCTCTGAGGCTGTCGTACTGACACTCTGTCCTTTTATTTGTGACTATCCCTGTCTTTTGCCAGTTACCATCCCTGTATCTCCTTCCCTGACACCTTCTCCAGAACCTGTACCTCCATCTGGTACCTGTTACTCCCCTCCCATGCTTTTCTTGCTTGGTGTTTGTCCCAATAACCATCACTGAGGTCTCCAGGACCATTTCTTTTTCTGGCCTGTTTCTCTGGCTTGGTGGTTAGATCACCTCTCTGTCTCCGACCATCTTTCAATGTCTCAGTCTCTTGGCTCAGTGACAATCTATATACCTTTTCCTGTCTCTCAGTGACAATATAACTCTCAGAAGGTGTGTGAGTGTCTCTGTGTCTCTCCCCCTGACCATCTATGTGTGTTTCTGTTACTAGGGACAATTTCTCTGTATCTAGTAGCTTTCCCTGTATCTCTCCTGCCATCTCTATCACTCTCTCTTTGACTACCTCCATGGCCATTACCAGGAGTGGCTCTCAGGTTCTGTGCACACACCCCCTTCCCTCCCACTTCTCAGAATCCCTGGATTCCTTCAAGACTTAGTTTACCAACTGGGAAACCGAACCTCCCCAACCTGCTTTCTTGCCTTCCTCCTCCAATTCTCATGTGTATCCACATTTGGGTATGAGTTCTAACCCTCCCCACCCTTCCAAATAGGAATTCTCTGATGGCAGGAATTATTTAGCTTTTGTCTATGTGTCCCCAGGACAAAAGGTGCTTAATAAGTGCTGGTTGGGTTAGATACAACCTGTTGCATTTCTGTTTCTCCATCTCTGTGATATTCTGTCTCTCAGCAACCATCCCTCTGCATCTCTCTTCATCCCAGTGACAGTACTTTGCCTCTCATCACCCTTCTATGTCTCTCTCCTCTGGGATAGTCTATCTCTGACCCCCCTTTCTGTCTTTCCATCTCAGTCCTTGTCTCTGACCATCCCGCTGCATCTCTTTCTATCTCAGTGACAGTCTTTGTCTCTTATTGAACAAACTGTTTCCCTGTCTCTGAGTCAGTTTGTCTCTCAGAGACCATTCCCTTTTCTCTTCATCTCTGATACTGTCTCTAATCATCTCTGTGTCTGTCTTCTGTCTCTGACCATCCTCCTGTGTCTCTCCTCTGTGATGGTCATTGCACTCATCCCTCTGTCTCTATCTCTGTGACAGTCTTTCAGTGACCACCTCTCTGTCTCCCTCCATCTCTGTGAGTCTCTGTCTCTGTGACCATCCTTGTGTCCCCTCCTATTACTGCCACAGTCTTTGTCTCTGGAACGATTCCTTTGTGCTTCTGATTGGCTGTGACCTTCTCTCTCAGTGACCTTCTCTCTGTGTCATTCCATCTCTGATCACCTCTCTTGATCTCAGCGACCACCTTCCCATTACTACTTTGTGTTTTCTTCTTGCAGTGACCCCTCTCTCCCTTGCTGGCCCTTTTCTACTTCCTCCCCTCCCCTCCCCCCCAGCCCCTTGTCACCTTCTTCCTCACCTGCCCTGTTGATGTCAATCACCTCCTCCTGAGCCAGCGGACAAGGCTCTCCAGGGGCAGGCAGAGGGGGCAGGCCCATTCCCGCAAGCCCCCCCGCCCCACCCCTCAAGAGCCCTGGGTGCACATGGCCATGGGGCCCAGGCAGCCCCGTTGGGTACGATCCAGGTGGGGGAGGGCTGAGGCCACTGTGATGATGGGGGAGCCCGGGGGCTGGGGGCGGAGGGGAAGGGGGCTCAGGCTTGCAGTAATTGGGTGAGCCCGGCTGAGGGGGGCGAGGAATATGCTTATTTTTTTTCTTGGGCAGCTTCTGTTTGGCCATAGCCAGCGAGTAATACATGCCGAAATTGTTGACGATGACAGGAACAGGCATAGCGATGGTAAGGACACCTGCCAGGGCACACAGCGCCCCCACCAGCATCCCTGACCAAGTCTTGGGGTACATGTCTCCATACCCCAGGGTTGTCATGGTAACCACGGCCCACCAGAAGCCAATGGGGATGTTCTTGAAGTAAGTGTGGTTGGAGCCCAGGATATCATCAGGGTCAGCCCCAATTCGCTCCGCATAGTAGATCATGGTGGCAAAGATGAGCACTCCCAAAGCCAGGAAGATGATGAGCAGGAGGAATTCATTGGTACTGGCTCGAAGTGTGTGTCCCAGCACCCGAAGCCCCACAAAGTGTCGAGTCAGCTTGAAAATGCGGAGGATCCGCACAAAGCGGACCACCCGAAGGAAGCCCAGTACATCCTTGGCGGCCTTGGAGCTCAGCCCTGACAAGCCCACCTCCAGGTAGAAGGGGAGGATGGCCACGCAGTCAATGATGTTCAGGCTACTCTTTAGGAACTCAACCTTGTCCGGGCAGAAGGTGACTCGCATGAGGAACTCAAAGGTGAACCAGACCACACATACACCCTCCACATAGGTCAGGAAGGGTTCTGTCTCCACTTCCACGTTGGTCACATTCTCTGGCGGCTCCCCCGGCACCGAGGATGCCTGTGTCACCGTCTTGTTGTGGATGTGAATGAAGCCCTCGTGGGTCTCCAGGCAGAAGGTGGTGATGGAGATGAGAATGAAGAAGAGGGAGGCAAAGGCAACATACTGCAGGAGGGGGAAGGGAAAAGAAGAGGTGACCCAGGAGCCTGAGCTGGCCCCTCCACCCACACTCATGCCAGTTCTATGTAGGGAGCCAAACAGCCAAACCTCCCTCAACCTTAGCTCTCTAGGCATCAAGGCACTCCCCCCAGCTTCCCTCAGGGAGCTGGACATTCAGGCCCCTACCTCCCCTCAGACCCAAATGTGCAGCCTACAGCCCCTGTCGCAGATCTTAGCTTCCAGACTCCTACAACCTTCTGCCCCTCTAGAGATCTAAGGGTCAAGGCCCCACAGATCCCCTTAGAAAGTCACATGTCTGGCTCCCTCTAGCTGATGAGAGATCCCAGAGTTTGCTTTAGGGAAAGAAGAGGGACAGGGACCCTTGGTCGACAGACTGTGAACAGTCCTGCTGTCTCCCTCCCACCTCCTCACCCCTTGCTCATGGAGTTAGTGGGATGGGAGACCCTGGCATCTGAGTCAGAAGGTGTTTGGGGATACTGGGGCCTCAGCTCTGTGGGACAAGCTCTGTGCGCTGCCTGTGTCTCTCTTCGTAGGCGGTGTGGGACATCTGGGTCTGAACCCAGGCTCTGACTGACTTGCTATGTGACCTTGGGCCTGTCTCCTTCCCCTATCTGGGTAAGGGGCTTGGGCATATCTCCGCTACCTGAATGTGTTTCCTTTCCAGCCTCGCCCCCCTTCCCCCCCCCCCCTACGCTTTTCCGCAGTGATCTGGGTGATAGGGCGCCGCAGTGCGCACGCTCAGGACTCCCTCCCTCCCGCGGCGAAAGTTGCGGCACTGCAGTGGGGGCGGGGAGCGGCCAGCACCGCGGCCAGCTCCCGCCGCACTGCGCAGCCGCACCGTAAATTTGGCCTTAACCCCATCCCTACCGGAGCCGCACTGCGCAGCTGCGGAGCCTACGAATGCCCTCCCTCCTCCTCCCCCCATCTTAACTCCTTCCCAACCCGGCCAGAGTAGAAAGGGAGGAAGGGGAGAAGGGGAGCAAGGGAGGGAGGGGCGCCCTCCGAAGTTCGAAGCCTCAGAAGCTGCTCCTGACCCACAACGGGTTTAACTCCTCTCCCGGATAGCTGAGTGGCGGAAGGGGGGAGGGTCGAGAGGGAGGGGAGGCCCCGCGCCCCCCACCAGTTCTCCCGAAAAGAGGTCACCGGAGGGGGTGTATCTAAGAGCCACGTGCCCCCATCCTCCTCCCCCCTCCTCCAATCCTGCATACTCAGCGTTTCTCTGGGACCTAACTTCCCCGGGAATACAAACCGCCTCCTCCACGCAGCCCCCCCTGGGGGAGGAGAAGGAGAAAGAGGGAGGGGGAAGAGGGATGCGGCATTGCGGTGGCTCCCTGTCCTTTCTTGGCCCGGGACGCAGCCAGCCCTTGGGGGGAGGGGAACGGACAGCAGACACCGGGCTCCTGACCCTCCGAATCTCCTGGCCCTGCAGGGGGTGGCAACTCCCCTAGAGGATACCCGGTTATCCTCCCCCTTCCCCTTTTCCTCATCCCCTTCTCGGACACAAAGAGAGCACCAGATTCTTCCCTCCCTCCAACATGATTTGGGATGAGATCTCGATGGTCGGGGGAAGGGAAGAGTCCAGGGTTCTCTGGACGGCGGAGAGGGAGCACTCCAGAAGAGGGGGAGGGGGGCGAAAAGTCATCTAAAGTTTTTCAAAGGGGCAAGGGATACAGGATGCAGGAGGGGGGCGGGTCTTCGTGGGGAAAGGGGATCCCGCAGCTGACGTCTCTGGGGCTTGGGAACCGAGAGAGGTTTCCAGAGGCTAGAGATTGGTGGCAGCCGATCTGGGCCGCGGGCTTTAGCTAGACATTCCCAAGGCTAGGAGTTGCATCCGTCCTGGGGCTTTAGGGCAGGCCTGAGGGGGAGGGGGAGAAACGCTCTGTTTGGGTGACCCTTGGTAGGAGTCTGGGGGCCGGGTATGTAGACTTTGAAGGGGGTACATCCCGAGGATCAGAGAAGCTCAGCTCTGGGGGTGGGGTGGGGTGAGGGGCAGCCCCCTGCGGAATCTCCCAGGGTTGGGGGGGAGGGGATAGCAAGCCCCCGGAAGGGGCGGGGGGGGCCTCCTTACCCTGGCCGCCCGGGACGAGTAGGGGTCTTCGAAGAGCGCCCACACTTTGGGCTGCCAGCGACGCCACCACGTCGCCCCCGCGGCCCCCCCGGGCCCGGCTGCGGCCCCACCGGCCGCATCCTGGAAGCAGAGTCTCTTGAGCTCCCCTCCGGCCCCGGCGGCGTCCAAGCCACCCGCCTCGTCGTCCCCTAGCCCTCCGGGACCGGCCCCAGGTCCCCCGGGGCCTCCGGCGGCGGCGGCCGGCTCTGGGGTCTCGAAGGAGTCCAGCGCCTCCTCAGCGTCGCGGTGCTGCCGATAGGTCATCCAGCAGCAAGCCTCCACGTCGGTCTCGTCGATGCCCCAGAACGCGAGCTCCTCCTCGAACAGGGGTCCGCACACGTCGGCCGGGCAGTGCAGCTTGCCAGTACGGTAGTAGTTGAGAACGTAGGCGAAGACGCCTGGGTGCCGGTCGAAGAAGAACTCGTCGCTGCGCGGGTCGTAGTCGAAGTTGGCTGCCGCCCCCGGCTCCGTGAGGCCGGCCAGCCGCGTCCCGGGTAGGGTGCGCAGCGTCGAGCGGTACGTCTCATGGCGCACGCCGCCCACGTTGATCACGATCTTGTCGCTGTCGCCGCCGCCGCCGTGTCGCCCCATGGCCGGGCCCCCGGGGCATGGCGCGCCCCCCGCGGGCGGCCCAGGAGGAGCCGGGCCGGGGCCCGGGACCGAGGCGGACCCGGGCCCGGGGCAGGGACCCGGACAGGGACAGGGACAGGGGCCGGGACTGGGACAGGGACAGGGACAGGGGCTGGGAGGAGGAGGCGGAGGCGGAGGAGGAGGAGGAGCAGGAGGAGGCTGCGCCGGCGGCTGCTGCGGCTGTTTGGCCGCCGTGCGCCCGCGGAAGGAGGAGACACAGACTGAGCTCAGCATTGGAGGGGCGGGGCGCCCAGGGCCGGGGGGCGGGGCCCAGGCGGGGGGCGGGCCAGGCCCCCCCGGGGGCGGGGTGGATCTTGGAGGAGAGGGGCAAGAAGGAGGGAGGTAGAGCCAGGCGCGAGGAAGGGGCGGGGCTCTCCACTAGGGGAGGGCGGGGCTCAGGCTGTTGGCCCAGTCCTTCTCAGCTGGAGGGCGGGGGCTGGTGGGAGCACTCCAGGGGTCGGTGGGCTGGCCCGCAGGCTGCGCATCCCTGAAGGCGGAACTGAGAGGGAGGGAGGAGGGAAAGGGGCGGAGGCATCCGTGGAAGGCGGACCTGGGGAGGGGCGGGGGGGGAGAAACAGAGAAAGGGAGGGGTCAGGACTGCCCCCCCCCACTCTTTCGGCCGGCCTCATTTTCCGACAGCATCCCTCATTCCTGAAGTCTTTGTCTTTCTAGGTGTAGGTTTCTGAGAATCTCTATCTTTGTCTCTGTCTTACTAAGTTTCATAGTCTGTTTCTCTGTCTCTTCTGTATTTCTCTCTCCCTTGAATCTCTCCTTCGGAATCTTCGTGTCTCCATGTTTCTCTCTTTACTCACGTATGTTTCTACCCTCCCCCTCATCTCCATCTCTGAGTCTCCCTATATCTCCCTCTGCGGCTCACTCTCTCTGTGTCTCTCTGTCTCTGCGTCTTCTACTTCTCTTCTCTTCCCCCCCCCTCCGCACTGAGGACTCTGGCTCACTACCAGACCGCAGAGTTGGAGGGGTGGCCTCCCTGCAGGGCCCCAGCCAACCCTGCCCTGCCGGACTCCCCCCTCCCCAGTCCTCTTCGCATGCATCCAGAGCTCCCCCTTCTATCTGGACACTGTCGTGTCCATGCCAGGCATTGATTCCCCTCACCACCTCCACTGACCCCTGACTCTTCTGGGGTCTCTCATTCTCCAACAGGATACTTCCCCACCGTCTGCTTGGGGGACTAGAAAGAGCTGATCCACTACCATCAGGACCCAGGCGTCCTTGGCTCCCCTCGCCCCACAAAGAAGAAACAGTCAACCCCCGACACCATGAGACTGAACAAAGTCACTGCCTTCGGTGAGAAGGGAAGGGGGCTGAAGAGGAAAGGGGGAGAAATAGGAAGAAGGGAGAATGGAAAAGAGGGGAGGTGGGCTGGGGAAGGGAGAGGAGAGAAAGGATGAGAAATGGAAGGTGAGGAATGAAGAACGGGGAGGGGAAGAGGGAGAAGGTGCTGGGGAAAGAAGGGATGAGAATTAGGAGAGGGGGAAAGGGAGAGAAGATTAAAGCTCTGGTGTCTGGGATGGAGAAGTGAGTGGGCCGACTGTGGTGGTGAAGTGGATGCAGGGCTAATGGACAGATCTGAAAGAAGAGGTCTGAAGGGCCAGGTGACTGGTCTGGGAGGAAATGAAATGGATGCTTTAGGCTAGGGGCCCCTGGAAGACTGGATTCTGGAGAATGGCAGTGGGGAGGATGTCTAGGTCATGGGATATGGGCTCAGGGTGAACTTCAAATTGATTCTTGACTCTCGGGTCCCCTTCCTCTGCCCTGATCGAGGAGGCAAAAAGATGGAAGGCCAGAGATTGCCTGAGGTTTGAGCTGTTTGGGATCCAGAAGTATCTCCACAATCTCTCCCCCCACCCAAACAAAATATCTGGAGCTCTTGCTCCTTCAAGGCCTCTTCTCACACTTGCCTCTCTCCGGTAAGACAGACTCCAGGCAGGCTTCTCTTGCCCTTCCCCTCTTCTCTTTCCTTCCAGCCCAGCCCATGATCCTAATCCCTTCTCTCCATTCCCCCCCATCTCTGTCCCTCATTCTTGGCCTCTCTATCCTCACCCCACCACCACCGGCACTTCCTCTCTCTTCTGAGTTCCATGTCTTCCCTTGAGACCCCTCCCCAGTCCTTCATCTATTCCTGGTAGCCTAGATGACTATGCCCTCTTCCCCCTCCTCCCTCCCCCTGACTCCAGGTTCCAAGGTCCCTTCAACCCACCTCTCTTCCTTTCCCCTCCCCCCATTCCTCCAGTCCCCCTCTCTTCCTGGGTCCTTCAGGCTCCCTCACTCCCCAGTCAGCCCCCTCTCTCCCCAGCCCTAATCTGATGGTTTCTTTAGCTTTTCAGAGGCCATTATTCCCCCACCACCACCACCTTGATTCCGCCTTTCCTGCTCCGCTCTCTCCACCTGTGGCTTCTGAGACCCCAGGCTGGTCTCTTTCACAGGCCTGGGCTGGCTTCTTCATTCTTGCTCTCCTTCTCTCTCTGCATCCCTTCCAATTCATTCTACATGGTCTTCCTCTTCTCCCTCTTTTCTCACTGTGGTTTCTCCCCATCTCCCTTTGTCCTTCCTTCTCACCCCACCCCCAGCTCCATCTATTTTTCCCCTTCCCCCACCCCTCCCATCCCTCATCCTGTCTTCTATCTGGTCATCCTCTCTTGCCACCTTAGCACCATCTCTCTCTTCTGACATCAATCTGCCCATCTCACTCAGTCCTTCCCCCTCCCCCTCCTCAGTTTCACCAAATCTTAGACCCAGAAGGGATCGTCTGGTGAGGCCAACCCCTTCATTTTACAAACTGGAAATCCGAAACCTAACAAATGACTTGCTCTGGGTCATGCAGGCAATGATAGCCCAATCTGGATTGGAACCCAGGTCCTCGGACTGCTGATCCAGAGCTCTTTCTCCTCTCCCTTGCGGAATGCTAGTCTCCCTTTTCATGCAATGCCCTCAGTCTTCTCTCGACAGCCTCATCAGCCATGCCTTTCCTTTGGCCCCTCCCTGGGTCTCCTGCCTTCAGAATCCCCTTCCCTAGCTCCTTCTCTCCTCATCTCTGTGCCCTTCTCTGTCGGACCCTTCCCCTTCCTCGTCCCCATCCATCAGACCCCCCACCCCAGTCACCGACTCCCTCTCCAACTCCCCCTAGGCTCCTCTCCCTGTCCAGCCCACGCAGTCTCTGTCTCATCTCCAGCCCTTTCCTCAATCCCCACAGTCCCCGTCCCCCTCTCCCCCTCATTCTTCTCTCCCTATATCTTCTTCACTCCATTCCTGCTACACCTTTAATACAGGCTTGTTCCAATTTCCTGCCAAGTCCCTCTGGGCCTCTATCCCTAACCCCCATGGTCCCCCCTCCCCCACCTCCATGTCCCCTTCCTCGGTCTGGAGTGTCTTTTTCTCCCCACCGCAACCCAGCCAGATTCTACCCTCAGTTTGGCCCCCCTCTCCCGCACCAACCTCCTCCCGTACTCACGGTGGGGGCGGGGTAGTGGTTTCCGGGGGGGGGGGCGGGGTGGCTCCAGGCCTTGGCCCCTGGGACAGGAGGAGAGAGCAAGGGAAGAGGTGGGGGCTCAGGCCGCGGGGCTTGGACCCGGGCCGGCGGCTCCGGGATCCGGGCGGTGGCTGCTGCTCGGGGGGGAGGGGGAGGGGGCCGGAGTTGGGGGGATGGTCTGACATCACTACCCGTGGCGGGGGGGGGGAGGGACCACCCTAACCCACCCACCCCCATCCCACCCCTGGGCCTCTGGAGGCTGCTGGCCCCACCCCTGCGGCGGACCCTGGCATCCCTCGCTAGGAGAGCAGGGGAGGGGCGGGCCGGCCCAGCCCAGCCACCTGTCAGTCGGTAGCCCGCCCAACACCGGCCAGGGCGGGAGAGAGAAGCTCAGGAGCTCCGAGCTGAGGGACTACAACTTCCGGCATGCTTGGGGGGAGCTGGCCTGCACTCCGGACGCAGCTTGGCCGCGGAGCACGCCGGGACTTGTAGTTCTCTCTCTCAGACGACGCTCCCTTTCCCCACCCCCATCGGGCTGCGGGCAGGCGCCAGGCGCCCACGCGGGGCGGGCGCGCGCGAGGGACCAAGGGAAGGACGCAGAGGAAAAGACACATCGCAGCTTTTTATTCGGCAGTTGAGGGGAGGCAGAAGAGGGGGCAAGATGCTGCCGAGGAGAGGCGCGGCCTGGCCCGGGACTGCAAACTCCCCCTCAACCCCACTCCCACCCCTGGAGATCCCCAAGCGCGGAGCCGAAGAGGATCCCCGAGCGCCGACCCAAAAAGGAACCCCAAGGCAGCCCCGTAGGATCTCCTGGCGTAGGGGTGCGGGGCGCATCCCGCTCAGGGGTCTAGATGCGGGGGACGCGGTGCTCAGCTCAAGGGTCTGGGCGGGGCCGGGGGGAATCGGGGGACTTGGAGGAAGGGTCGGGGAGCTCCCAGTTCAAGGGCCCCGGAGGGCCCTCCGCGCCCGTGCCAGCCCCACGCGGGCTGCCCCCCGGTCAAACACAGCCACATGAGGCCCTAAGAAGACGTCACCGAGGATCCAGAACGGGCCGGCGGGCGGTGGCACGTCCAGCGCCAAGAAGCCGGACAGACAGAGGCGGGTGCGGCCGCTGGCCAGCTGCGGGGCGAGGGCAGGAGCGTCTGGGCAGGCCCGCCCCCCCCCAGCGGTCACCCCGGCCGCAGCCCAAGAGCATCCCCGGAGGCGGCGGCGGCGGAGCCCGTGGGACACCAGCAGGTCATCGCGCCCCGCCCCCCAAGGGTCCCCCTCCCACAGCACTGCCTAGTTCTGAGCTCCCTCTGGGCCGGAAATAGGGTCCCAGTCTCATCCCGGGGCGGCCAGAGGTGAAGTCACTCCTGGGGCCCCTGGCCCTGTCCCTTGGGGCCCCTGGCGTGGCGTAGCTAACCTCCACCCCCTCCCCCATAACTGGACAACTCCCCGCACGCAGTTGATTGGTGACGTCACTGCGGGGTGGGGGGTGGCGGACCTCGTTCAAAGGCCTGTGACGTCAATAGAAGCTCCCAGCCTCCTGCTCCTATCTCATTCCCCTCTCCCCTTCCCCCAGGGGTACTGCCCTATTCCTCACCCAGGGGGGCTCCTGCTGCATTCTTGGGATACAGCCCACTCCGCAGGTCTATGCGTCTACCCCTCCCCTCAAATTCCCCCACCAAATTCCAGATTTCTTCATTTTCCCAGGAAACGCAAGTCCTATTCCTTGAATTTTCTATGACGTCACAGTGCAGGGAGAGGAGGAGTATTTCTGTGCTTTGGTCAATAGGGGGAAGGAAGGTGACGGGAGCCCAACCTCACCTTCTGCAGTCGCCCAAGCTCTGGCCCCCTGGTGCAAGGAGCCTAGAGGGTCCACCCGCACATTCCCCCCAGTTCCTGTGACTTGAGTAATTAGCCTCGAGCGAGCCCCCCTACCTGGAGGACATAATCTTGGGCGGTCAGGTTGAACCAGACACCACCGAGCAGGAAGGAGATGGGTGGGAGGACCGGGAGTCGGTCACAGGGGATCAGATACTGCGGGGAGGGGGAGGGGGGAGTCCATTCTGCTGTGTCACGCTCATCTCTTCCTTGTCCATTCACTCCTTTGCACCCATCAGAATCCTCCGCTCCCCTTCTTCGCGCTCCTCCTGGGGGCCCTACTGAGCACAATCCCCTCCCCCACCCCACCCCGCCTAGGCTGGCCCTTCTCCAGCCTCCTCTTGCCCACGGGTCTCTGAGTCTGCCCTGGGCTCCCCGTAACGTCCAGTTTACAGCAGGCTCTGCGGGAAAAGCTGTTCTCCAATCCCCTCCTAGTAGCTGGTTCCTGGCATCCAGGGCACCCCATCCCCGCCCCCCCAGCTCTGCTGCTTAAAGCTGACTTCCATCTATGGTTCTCCTTTGCAAAGTCCTTTAGATACAAGCTTCTATTGGAGCTCATAGCAACTGCCTGAGGGCATTTCCCCTCCTCCAACCCCTATACACCTGTTCGGTCCCATCACCAGGACTCCATTATCACTTCCGACGGCCCTGGGCCCACTGCCCACCCTGCCGTTCCTTCGCGCGGCGGCCAGCAGAGCACCCAGGGCTTCTGCCTGTCTTCCTCCTCAATGCCCCGCACGGTGGGGTTCTCCTTCCTTGCAGCCCCATCTCAGCTCCCAGCACAGAGCCTGACTCTTTCCTCTCCGTGCTTTCTCAGAGCGCAGTACAGCACTCCAGCCCCTGGCGGGGATGCTGAGAATCATCCCTGACCCAAAGGTCTGAATGTGGGTTAGGCCCCTTCTTACAGAAGTCAGGATGAGCAAATGTCAGTTGGACAAACGATCCCAGCCCTATCCCTTTACCCTCCATCCTGAGTCCCAGAGATCTGGGCCCCCCTAGCTTCTCCCCTTCCCAACCTTCTCCTCTCACCTCCCCAGCCAGCAGCGGGAAACCACCAATGAGTTTGTGCAGCGCCCCGATCTCCTTGGAGGGCCCCGTGATGAGTGAAGTGCCCGTGTCCAGAATAGTAGCACAGCCTTTAGGGCACAGAGTCAGGGAGTGGCCCACAGTCACACTGGGGAGAAAGATAGGGCATGAGCTCCTTACCCAGGCACCTGTCTCTCCAGCCCCACCCTTCACTGACTGACCTAGGCACCTGTCCCTCCAGGCCCTCCCCCCGCCACTGACCCAAGCATCCTTCCTTAGAGACTCCAGGGGAGTCAATTATACCGGCAATCGAGTCGCAGCCTTCTCCAGCCTTTGGCGCTGTTCAACCCCGCCTCCCCCCCACCCCCCCAGCCTCATCCCCCTTAAGGAGCTAGGCATTTAAGCCCCTCACCGGTCCATATGGATCTGCCAATAGGCTGGCCGGGTGACAGGCAGGAAGGTGAGCGGGGGGATATAGAGAGCTGGATCTGAGCCTCCTAGAATCACTTCTCCACCCGGGACTGCTTCAGGGTCTCTGCGTGGCAAGAACGGAGTTTCTAGAGCCCAGGGGACCTGAAAGACCACTCAGTCCCTCCCCTTCATTCACAGAAGGGGATCTGAAGGGGAAAGTGACCTGCCTTTGGTGACCCAGTTAATAAATCTGGGAACCAGTATTGAAACCCAGCTCTCCTGCCTCTCAACCATGGCTCTGTGCCGGGTTGGGGGAGGATCACCAGGTCCCCAGGGGCAGGGGCAGGGGCAGGGGGCAGGGTACATACAAGCTCAGGAAGGGACTGCAGGATTTCCAGGGTTTCCCAGTTAAGAGGGTTGAACTGCCTATGTCTATGAGGGCCCTGACAACATGGGAGGAAGAACCGGGAAGGACCTTGGGAAACATCTCACCCAGTCCCACTTCATAGAACGAAAGGGACTCAGAAAGGGGAGGGGGTTATTTACCCCACAAGGTGGGCTGTCCTAAGAGGAGAGGGAGGAGAGAGGATGGGCGGGGCTTCCCAACCGGGAGGGGAGAGTGGGGGAGGGGACAGGCGGGGCTTCTCATGGGGGGCGGGGTTTCCCATCCCTTGCTTGCACCTGTTGAGGTAAAAGGAGAAGACGGGCTGATCCAGCAGCCCCAGGTCCAGCAGTGTGTCCAGCGGAGGCTGCACTCCGGCCACGGCCAGAGTTGGGAAACCCAAGCCGAAGATTCCGTCGAAGCGGGCCAGTGCAAAGGCCAGGCTTGGCTCCCATAAGGCTTCCCCAAAAACCAGAGGGCCCCCCCCAATGCCTCCAATCTGGGGGGACAGGAGGGGTCACGATGCAAACCCAAGGGTCACATAGGAAGTCCCTCCCCTTGAAAACAGTAGCAACTTTCATGAAGTGAGAATCTCATCCCCAATCCCTCAGAAGTCGTAGTCCTAGGGGCAGCACACCTGCCTCCCTAACCATTCATTTCACGAGGCACTGGCCCAAGGTTTTATGTCTGCTGTCATTCAAGCCTCATCTCAGCCCTAAAAGGGAGGTTCTATAATCGATATGGTCGTTTTACAAATGAGGAGACTGAGGCAGAGGCCAAGGCTTTGTAGCTAGTGAAGACATTCAGGGTCTGAACCCAGCCCTAAAGCCAAAAAGTGATGGTTGAGTTGACTCACAGTCAGCATGTCCTCACTCAAAATGCCATCCAGCCGCCCCGTCCCGTAGCGGATGGAAAATTGGGTCCCATTAGGTCGGAAGGAGCTGGAAGCCTTGGGGTCATATCGATGATGGAACCCTGGGCCATGAAGGGACATGAGAGTGTTAAGGGGAGTCGCTGTGACATCCCTCACCCCATTCCCTTGGCCCTGGCCCTGGCATTTGGCCACCAGAGCCAGAAAGGCCTGCCCAGCCTAGCCCTCCCAACTGACAGAGGAGGAAACTGAGGAGTGACCAGGGACACTCGTCAATGGTCAAAGAAGATCACGGAGGGGATAATGGCTTCCCTGAAGGATAGACCATCCTCAGGAAGAGGCAGCAGACCTGTCCTGCTGGGCCCCAGACAGCAGACACTGGCAAGGACTGCCCACCATGAAATGCCAATCACCCTCATCCAGGGGGCAAGGCATTCCCATCTCGGCTCAGGTTGGAATCGATGACCTCTGCGATCTTTTCCTGGCTGGAGAAGCCATGATTTAGGGAGACTGAGGCCCAGAGAGGGGAGGTCACCAGCAGCCTTGGGGTCTACAACCTCCCTGATCTGACAGGCCCAGGAAGGGGTCTTTTCCAAGGTCACACAGCATGCATAGGTGTCATCTAGCATCTAGGCCTCTTCCTTATTTGACTGAGGAGGCTCAGACAAGGGAAGGGAAGGGACACTACCTGCTCACTGAGCAGCAGGAGGCACGGCCAGGCTTTTGTCTCCTATGGAGGCGTCCTGCACCCCCCTCCCCAAACCCTCCCACTTCCCGCCTTCTCACAGCAGCCCAGGCTGAAGAAGCTACATCGGCGAGATGGGACCCAGAGGTTGGAGGAGCCGGTGTCAAAGATGACGGAGAAGTTCTGGGGAGGCGTCCCCAGCCCTATCTCCCCGTAATACTGAGCCTGCTTGGAGAAGGAGAGAGAGAAGAGGCTGAGAAGAGGCCCGAATGGGCAGGGGGAGATGAATGGTGTGGGGGGAAGGGGGCCAGGGCACTCACGTCCAAATAGTTGGAAAGCGGCACAAGAATGGGCCCGTCCTTGGGCAGAGGGACCTGGGGGGTCCTCCAGCCCCTCAGTGAGTGGAGGGTGCCAGGCAAGCCTGGAACCCTGTGCAGGGGGATCCTGTAGAGAAGGGGAGGGCACTGTTGAGGGAGCTCGTGAGGATGGCTCCCAGCCCCTGCCCTGGCAAACACTGGAGACCTCAGGGGGTGAGGCTTCCTTGGCCTTGGCCTCCAGGAAGCCCTCCTGGATTTCACCCTTGTTCCTCTTCATTTTCTCCTTCTCCATACGCATGGGACATCCCCCAATCTGAACTTGAGCTCCCTGAGGGTAGGCTGTCTTGGGTGCCCTTTGGGTATTTGTTCTGTGTGCTATCAGGCAAATCGAAGGATGCTTAATACGTGGTTGTTGCCTGAATGAATAACTGATTTGTATCCCCAGCATAACACCCCACACTCGGTAGGTGTGCAATAAATGCCCATTATATCGAATTAAAATATTCAAGACCCATAAGTGACAGCATTATAGAGGCACCGAGGTGTTGCAGTGGATAGTCCTGGGCCTGGAGTCAGGAAGACCTGAGTTCAAATCTAGCCTCAGACACTTTACTAGTGGTATGATGCTGGGCAAGTCACTTAACCAGTGTCTGCGTCAGTTTCCTAACCTGTAAAATGGAGAAATAATAGCCCCAAGCTCCTAGGATTGTTGAAATATTAAATGAGATAATAACTGTAAAGTACTTACCACAGTGTCTAGCATAGTAGGCACCAGAGAAATACTTATTCTCTTCCCTCCCCCTTCTTCTTCTCCACATCATCCCAAAGACCATCCTCTCTTCCCCCACTCCCCATCCCTGAAGAGCATGAAGAATGCAGGGGTAGGGGGAGCCTTCTCCCCATTAAGGGTTAGAGTGGGAAATGCCCTATGGCAATTGAAAGACATTTTGAGGAAAATGGGAAAAAAAGTTGGAAGGGAATTTGAAGGTGTCCAGGTCAGGGAGGAAGGTGCTGGGGGTGGGGGAGGAGAGAAGGTATCTGGGAGAGGAGGGAGGATTCTGGGGAAGAAGGGTCCCCCACTACCTGATGAGGGAGGCCACCACGGAGCTCAGAAGCACCAGCAGAAGCAGCTCCTGACACAGATACATCTTGGAGCAGGTATGAGGGGCCAAGAGTGATTGTGGATCTTTCCTTAGAGTCCCTACCCCACCCTGCCACGCCCTCCAGGAAGGCAGAAAGGGCTGAGTGGTAGTGCTTAGAACAGGAAGGGCCCTTCAAAGTCCTCTAGTACAAACCCCTTTTTGTTGGGAGAACATGCGGACCCAGGTAGGAGCTTGGGGTCACCCAGAGCACCCATCACAAACCCTTCTTCCCCCCCTCTCCTTGATCTGAAGGGTCTTAGTGATTGTTCAGAGCCTGGGGTGACTGGTCTCCCCCCTCCCCCAAAAAGCCTGGTGCTTCCTCTCCTCCTCCCAATTCTACATGTATTCTGCTAGAAAGGAATGGCATTGGAGCATGCTGGGGGCATTATTTTATGGTTCTGCCTCAGTTTACTCATCTGCAAAGAATGGGTGAACCATCTATCTCTTAAATCCTTTGAAGCTAGGATACTGGATATGATGTTAGACAAAGCTCTTTCCCTCTCTGTGCCTCAGTTTCTTCAAATGTAAAACAAGGATTGACCTGAGAGGTTTCTAAGCCCCAGCCCTTCTGGAGAGGCCAAGATCAGCCGATACCCCTGGGGAATTTCCAGGGCCTCAGCCTTCTCTCCCTGTCCTTCTCTCCACCCCAGGCCAGTTCCTTCCCTAGATCCTAGTGAATAATTAACCTCAAGGGTCCCTTCTAGGGGAACAGAAGCGCCCTAGAAGGGGCCCCCATGTTTGGAAAGGGTCTGGGCTGGGCTACTGGCCAAACTGGAGAAGCTTAAGGAAGGTGGAGACCACTCCAGAGTCCCAGGGTCTCCAGGAATCACAGTCTCCGAAGTGGAAGGACCTGGGGACCAGCTAGCCCAGGCTGTACCTGAGCCAGACTCTTGTCCCCAACACACCTGATGTGCTTGGAATGCTCACATAAACCCCCCCCCCACCAGAGGCCCCTCCACATCCCCTCACCCCTCCCCTCTCCTCCTAGGCTCCAGGCTCTGATGGTGTCCTTGGCCAAGGCCTGCCCCCTGGAGGGCTCTCAAGCCTTTCTCCTGCTGTCTCTGAGGCTGTTGTCTCCCTCCTTTCTCATCTCCCATCTCTCCCTGGCTACAGCGCCTTGCTTGTTGTCTACAAACAGGCCCAGGTCTCCCCTCCTGGCATTCCTTTAGGCTTTCAGCTTATGATTCTCCCCACTTTATAGCCAAATTCCTAGACTGCCCACATCCTGGCCTCCTCTTGCATCCTTTTCCTCACCTCCTCCTCACTCACCCCTTGAAAATCTGACTTTTGACCCACTATGGTGTGAAAGCCACTCTCAACCACAAAAGGGAATTACAAACGATAAAATAGTTAACTTTGATTGCCTGAAACTGAAAAACTTCTGCATAGACAACATTAATGCACTTAGGATAAGAAGGGATATGGTTGAATGGGAAAAAAAATTGTATCAAATTTCTCTGATAAGGATTTAGTACCAAAGATATATAAATAATTAATATACACACATACATACATACATACATACACACATGACAAATAGTCATTCCCTCAGAGTTCCTCACTGCTAAATTCAATGGCTTATCCTCATTCACTCTGCTTTTTTATTTAGTTTTTTTTTCAACTAACAAACATTTATTTTCTTCCCTCTCACCCAGCTTCCATTGAGGAGGAGGGAGGGGAGAGGAGAGAGAGAGAGAGAGAGAGAGAGAGAGAGAGAGAGAGAGAGAGAGAGAGAGAGAGAGAGAATGAATCCTTGGAACAAATATGAAAGTCAAGCAAAACAAATTCCTCTGTCCTCAGTCAATGTAGTCCCAGCTACTAAAGGCCTGGAAAGTTCTTCTCCTGAAGTTCCCTGGTGCTGTCAAATGGTTCAACCTCAGAAATGAACAGGACTTTAGCTAAGAAGCAAACCTAAAGAAGATGCTTGGCCATCTGTTTCTCCCTGAAGCCCTTTGCATCTCACTCATGTTTGAAATCTCCTGTGTGAATGTGAGAGAACTGTCCTGTTTTTGTGTTTGTCAGCACAGTGCTTCACACACAGCAGGTGCCCAATAGATTCCTTTTCAGTCAACCAGTCAATCAACAACTATTTGTTAAGGACCTCCTCTGTGCTAAATTCTGGGGATAGAAAGACAAAATGAAAGAATCACCATCGATCTCTTGCCGGCATTTGAGATTTCCAACCACCCCCTTCCTTCTGGATGCACTTCCTTCCTTGTCTTTGATGACACCACTGTCTCCCAACTCTTCTACCAGTCTGACTGTTCTGTCTCAGCCTCCTTTGCTAGATCATTCTCTCACACCCTTGGACAAATCACTTAACCCCCCTACACCTCAGTTTTCTCATCTGTAAAATCAGAGGATGGACCCAAGATGAAGTAGGTACACCCACCTTCAGCCAGGAAGGTGATGGACTCAAGACACAGAATCGGATAGATAGTTTTGGACATGACCAAAGAGGGAATTTCCTTCACTCGCCTATGTGTATTCATGTGGTTTCTTTCTCTTTTGTTCAATTGGTGTTGGTGGAGGGAGAAAATAAATGTTTGTTGATTGGAAAAGATAAAATGAAATGAGGGGTTGGAGTAGCTGGCTCTCAAGGTCCTTTCTAGCGCTACAATCCTCTGAACCATTAAGCATGGATGTCTTCCACATGGCTCTGTCCTGAGCCTCTTCTTTGCTCTCTAGACTTGGTGACTTCCTCGGCTCCTGTGTATTCAATTATGATCTTTATTCAGATGACTATCGAATCTATGCATATAGACATAACCTCTGTCCTGAATTCAAGTAGCTGCTAGACATCTCTGACCCTGGGCATTTCAAAGTCAGCGTAACCAAAAGAGGATTCAATGTCCTTGCCTTTAAAAACATCCCTCTCCATACTTCCCTGTTTCTGCTGAAGGCACAACCACCTTCTCATTATCCAAGTTCCCAATCTCAGAGTCATCTCTGACCCTTCCCTTTTCCTCACTCCAATCTGTTGCTAAATCTCATTGAATCTATTTTCATGACATCTCTTGCATCTGCCTCCCCTCTCTTCCCTCAAATGACCACTGCCATAGTTCCAGTCCTCATCTCCTCTCATCTGGACTATTTGTAACTGGACTCTTGGCTTCCAATGTCTCCCCCTCTCCATTCCATCCTGCACATGGCTTCCAAAATGATCTTCGTAAATAAAACACTTGGTTTGTTTGATACCCATGGAATCAGACACCTAGAGAAATGTGGCTTGGGGTATTATATTATAATTGTACAAACCGCCAGGTGGCATTGGAAGCTCGTGTTCCATCAGCTCAACAAACTAAGGACTTACCAGTTTAGGAATGATTGCTCTGTAAATTATAACCTGTCAAGCAGTTCAGCTCCCATTCTCACTTGGGTTCCTGACCTTAATTTCCCTTCTTGTAATAGCTGCAAAAGATTTGTTCACTCAGCATTTGCAGTAGATGGAGCTCACTAAAAGGAAATTGAAAGTAAAGTTTTAACAGCATTGAAAATCTGAAATGGCTTAAGCAGACCAAGGCAACTGGGCAGCCCAGTGGGTAGAGTACTGGGCCTGCAGTCAGGAAGACCTGAGTCCCAACTCCAGTCTCAGACACTAGCTGCGTGACCCT